ACTTTGGGGGAGATCTTTGAGAGCAAATGGAGAAATGTACATACTTTAGACTCCAATATTCTGGTATAATTTCTTGGTGATTTTGGTAGGAGAGATGGTGATGCTGAATATTTTTTGCTTGTTTTATAAATAATTTTTAAAACTTCCTGTGAATTTTAATTTGAAGATTTTAATAAAAAATACTTCAGAAATGTAATTGCCAACATATTGACATACTGATACCTAACAATGTTGTTAAACCACCTTTTAAGTCTGTATCTAGTGGAATGTAAAACCATAATGAGTTGATGTCCACCATGATCTGCTTAACATAATTATTCAAACTTAACATTCCTTTTTCTTGACAATGTATTTGTTACATTTCCCCCACAAAACTTTTGATACAATAAATGTTTATGAAAATCTACTTTTGATGATTATTTCATTCTTTGTAACATTTGTATATAAATCAAAACATTTTAAATTTGCTGTGTAGCCATAAGGCACCAGAGGATGTCATGTTTTTTCTGGATTATTAAAACTGGTAGCACACACCAGTGATCCCAGCTACTTGGGAGGCTGAGGCAGGGAGGACAGCAAATTTGAAGCCAGCGTGGATAACTTGGTGAGACCCTGTCCTGTCTCAGAATAAAGGGCTGGGATGTAGCAGTGTGGTGGAGCACATAGCTAACCTGTGCAAACCTCAGTGTTCTGTGCCCAATAATTCAAAACAAATTGTTATTTCACCTGTGCAGCAAATTGTATGTATTCATTTGTTGGTGTATGATTTTATTAAAAATATACTGGTTCATAGATGGAAATTTTAATGGCCTTGATTCAAGGAGTTGCTTTCAAATTGTTCTCAGGGTGTGGCTTCCCAAGGTTTTAAAGATATTTAAAGACCTAAATATAGTAAACCAAGAACCTTTAAAATGTAAAGTGAGAGGGAAGATGGGCTGGGAGAACAGGCTTGATCCTGTTGTTTGCAGGCATTTGTGTACACGGATGCAGATTTTAGGATGTGACATGGAACTTGATCTAAAAGCAATTCAACTATGACCTACATCCTCTAGTACCTGTGGTGGAAAAACAGCTACTCAAACTGCTGAGAAAGATACTAGATGTTCAGTTCAGCACTATTACAGAAAATAAACATATTCCCCTCAGTAAAGGGTTATACTGTGCAGCAGTTAAGGTGTAAAGTGATAGTGCCCCATTATAGAACAATAATGTGTGAATAATTATGTATGAAAAGGGAACATCAAGTTTATCCTGGTGGAGACTAATGGGGCAAGATTTATATAAAAATTCTGAAAATAAAGATTTTCATTTTAGAAAAAGATTAAGATGGTAAGTATTTATGTTAAATTATTTGTGCTGATATTTTTTAATTTGCCTGAAGTATGTGTTAAACAAAAATAAATACATCTCTGGGGAAGATGATGAGATTTACTTGGTGGTGAAAGGACAAAGTATTGATTAATGAAAGTGCCAGTGAGTAGTCATACATCATGCCATCTAAAATAGGTACACAAAGTTTATTTCTGCCATCAAAAGCCTGTGTTGATATTGTATATATTGATTCCAACGCTCCTCAGTTCCTGTGTGGTTCTTTTAGCCAGGGCCAAGATTGGCTTTCCCCAGTGTAGGTTAAGGATTAGTGTCCAAAATCTTCAGCCTTTTGGTGTTATGGCATAACCTCTGCCTACGTTTTCTAGACAGTAAGGTTATCCAAAGTTCTTTACTGAAATATTAAACTTTTGAACTCAGTGACCCAAACACTAGATTGTTTTACAATTTTTATTTAACAATATTTAGGGGCTGAAAAAGACAGTTATATATAGTTCTTGACTTAAATACATATTAAGAGATCACGCAGTAGTGAACATTCAGTTTTGATTGTAGAAGTTGAACATTTCTGCAGTGACATTTTTAGTTATCAAATGATCAGAAAAATACTCGTCCCAGCTCAAACATTACCTTAGGATGATAAAAAGAGTTATTAATTTAATGGCAAAGAAATCACTGATAAGAACTAAAAAGACTTCAAGATGGTGACTAATGAGCTGCAAACCTGATGTACAGGTACTTGATGGGATGTTGGGATGTATATGATTTACAACTAGAACTTGCAAATGGTCTCTTTCAAATGTGGAACCTTTTAAAAAATGAATTTGGCAGAAGAAAGTTGCTTGATACAACCTCACTTCCAAACAGACTTAGTCACTGGAACATTGTCAACCCCTTTCCTGCTATAATTTTGTGTCTCCAATGGTTTTTGTTGTCACAGGCCCTGTATTTGTCAAAAGGTGGTAAATGACTACAGTACAGTGTTTCTACTCACCTCTATGGTGATGAGGATGACAATCATCCACTCTAGGCGGAGTGCCCTCTTCTCATTCAGGTGATTCCGCATTAGATCTGTCAGTTCCATGCAGTGCTGGAGCTTTTCATTCATGACCTGTATAAGAAAGACCTTAGTATGTATTTAAACAGTTTATTAAGAAAATTGGTAAGGTCACATGCTTCAAACTGTATATGCATTGAGTGAAAGTCATCTTTTGAACTCTTGCTCCCTAGTCCTATCCCCAAAGGCAACCAACCAGCCAGTGTTTGCTTTCTAATTAATTTACCCAGAGCCATTTTGTAATGCAGATTTAATGAAATATTTTGCATGCTAATCTATTTTAAGATGTTGAGAAAAGATTTAAAAATAAGGTTTTTAAGTCCTAGTTTCTGGTAGCTGTCTTTGTTTTTAGCAAGAAAAAGAAGCTAAACTTAGAATGTGATTTAAAAAAAAAAAACATGGACTAAGGATGACAAAAACAATGATTACCTTACAAAAAACCCTCAATACTTAATGCTTGACCTGCTGCAAACTCACCATTAGATGGCAGTACTTCCTAACTGAAATGAAAAGGCTGCATTATGATGATGCTTCACAAGCTGATGATAGTTCATAAAAAAAAGACTCTTTGAACTTAAAACTTAGATGTGACTACTAACAGTCATGCCTACCTAGTATCTCTGTACTTGCCTCTGAAAATTGGAAGGTCCGGAAACATTTTAAAAATAGCTGCTGCTTTCATGGGGCATGTTGAAGGTGCAGTGTTAGTGCACTAACACTAATCACAAATGCATGTATGGGGACTGACAGGACATTCCAGTCAGTGCATCAGTCACATTCATTGGAATTGTGCACAGAGGATCAATGAGGAAACACTGAACTGTGGATAACATTCACCTGTATTCCAGACTTTTTCTCCCAGAACTGGGGATTGAACCTAGGGCCTTTGCGCTGAGCTGCACCCATCCCAAGCCCTTTTATTTTTTATTCTGAGATAGGGTCTTGCCAAGTCATTAAGTTTTCCAGGCTGGACTCCCAACTTTGAGCTCCTATCTCAGCCTCCCAGAGTGCTGTGATTACAGACACGTGTAACCATGTAGTCCTATATCCCAGATTTTATGGTCACGTGGTAGTTTTATTTTCAAGTTGTAAATGACTGTGCAGATTATTTGATCTTTTGGATTATTTACATTTAAGATTATGTGGGACACTGATCTACACTGAAGCAGGTTGACTGAAGAGGTTTATTTGTGGGTTTGGCTTTTGTAACCTTTTTCTGACATTTGGCAGTAATAGCTAATGTTTAACTGCATACACATAGGTAATTGTACACATATAATTATATATGTGCAATTTTTTTTGGTATCAGAGATCGAACTCAGGACCTTGTGCTTGTGAGGCAGGCAGCGGAACCACTAAGTTAAATCCCTGGCCCATATTTGTGCAGTTTTAAAAAATTTATTTTTATTACTGTGTTTGTAGTACATAACATTTTTTTGTGTGGAGGTGACCTTGCAGTTTCTAGTTTGACTTTAGAGCAATGTTTCTTCTTGGGTTTTTCTTTTTGGTACCGGGGATTGAACTTGGGGGTCCTCGTGCTTGCAGGGCAGGCGGCAGAACCATTGAGCTAAATCCCCGGCCCTGAGCAATGTTTCTTTTTCACCCCTTTTCCTCCCACATTTTTCTATTGACTGCTTAATCTTGGTCTAGAACAATAGTAGCAAACCTAGGGCATGCAGAGCTCTCTGTCAGCATATAAGCCAAGTGTGAGTTTTAAAAATTTTTATTTAAATTTATTTATTTTCTGGCACCTGGAATCCAACTCAGGATCTTGAGCTTGCCAGGTACGCGTGGCACCACTGAGCTACATCCCCGGCCCAAGTGTTTTTTTTTAAAAAAACTAAAACCTCAGCATTTGAGTTTAATTGCAGTGCAGTTTGGGCACTTGGTCTCCAAAAGTTTTGCCATCACTGGTCTAGAACATCTTTGTCAAGCTTGCTTTTCTTATTAAATTACTGACTTGGCCCTTTTAACTTTGACCAAGGAATAGACAGCATGTTCTGTTATTCCTCCACTTTATCATCAGAAATTACATATGTTGCTACAACTCTCCTGACACTTCCAAGTCTCCTAATTATTACATTTAATGGTTCTTCATTCCAAAGCTCACACACTGACATGTGCAAGTCAGAGTCCCTGTACTTGTGTTTGAAGCATGGCGAAGTGTTCTGGCTGGAATTAGTGGCAATGTCTCTTACTGCAATTTTTATACATTCACTGTATTTTGATCACCCCTTGTATACCACAAATACTGTAGTTAAAATAGTGCTCCCCACCCCACGGACATTCCTGGAGACTATGAACATGGCAAAGGAAAATTTAAAGATTTTGAAACTAAAGCCCCCGAACATGAGAGATGAGACTAGATGGCTGGGTAAGGCCAGTGTAATCATAAGGGTGTCCTTATTTAGGATGATGGGATGTGAGGACCACTCACCTACCTTTCCTAGACAGAGGAAGGGGTTCAAATGTAGAATGCAGGCAGCCTCAAAGAACTGGGAAAGGCAAGGAAATGGATCCTGCTTGTAGCCTCCAAAAAGGAACACAGCGCTGCCAACACCTCAATCTTAGTCCACTGACACCTATACCAGGCTTCTGACCAACAAAACTGAGGATGATAAATTTGTGTTAAGGCACTAGGCTTGTGGTAATCTGTTATAGAAGCAGCAGAAAACTAATATGCCAGGTTATAATGTATAAATTTTATTCTGCAAGTAAAGAGTCCTTTGTTTAACCATGGAATACTCAGTATTTATGTTGCTGGGCAGAGAAGACAGTAAGACACTTCTTTCTGCCTTCGGGCCAGAGGGTACAGCAGGACTGGGAAAAGGTCTACTTTAAAGGCTGGAAATAAGACTAGACTAGGTAAGGGGGGAGGCTGAGTGGCAGAGGGGATGCATATATTAACTTTTGAGATGAGGTGCTAGGATCAATGTGGTACTCTTCCCTTGGGTCTGTCACATAGGCTTTTCAATAAATACTTCCAATTAACAGGTGGTACATGGGGGAAATGAAAAGATGGTCTGACTGGATGTAGAGGGTGAAGCAGAAAGGACACCAAGATGACTTCTAAATTTTCTGTTGAATGACTATATAGCCGGGACTAGATGGCCTTGTCATTGAAAGAGAGCAGGAAAGATTCAGAATATAATTTCATTTTGAGATCTTGTTACTGATTTTTTCCACTAGCACTGAGTACCTGTTATACATGGTATCTTTGCCAAGAACTGGGAAGCCAATAATCATGGTCTCTGACCTTAGGAAGCTGCAATACCATAGATGAGGATTTGTGAGATTGAGGAAGCAACTAGAAAACATTCAGAAGTGCTCGCTTCAGCAGCACATATACTAAAATTAGAAAACATTCAGAAGGCAAAGAGGGAGTGTGTTAGAGGTACATAATGTAAAAATTACTGGGAAAAGGCAGGAGTACAAATCATGGAAATGAGTGCCGGTGGAGAAGAGGGGATATGGAGAGAGGCTTCAATGACAGAACTTGAAGGCTGCTAAAGAGAAAACAGGCCAGCACTGCTGCAGACTGGTTTCTGTCCTGTGACACCTCTGTAACTGCTCTCTGAATCTTTTTACGAAAGGACTTGACCTCTGGTCTCAATATTTCTGCTTCTCAGCATGTCTTACACTGTTAGCCCCATTTTTCTTCAAGACTATCTTTTGTGGATAAAAAAACCCTCTTCATTGTCTTCTTGAAACATGACAAGCTTGCTGAAAGTCAGGACCAGTTCGCATTCTATTTAGCCCTGCTATACTGTGGATGTTGAGTGTCCCCTAAAAGCACATGTGTTAAGTAAAGGTTTGGTCCCCAGAGTGGCACTGACAACCTTTAAGGGCCTAATGTAATGGGAGGTCTTTAGGTTACCCAGAGTGTGTCCCTGAAGAGGACTGTGGGACCTTGATTCTTCCTCTCTGCTCCATGGCTGGTGATGGCAGTTTTGCTCTGCCACATGCTCCTGCCAAAATGTGCTGCCTTGCCACAGGCCCCAAATGGGCCAATCAGTCACCACTACAATCTCCTAAACTGTGAGCCAAAATAAAGCTCTTACCTTTACATGTTAATTATCTCAGGCACTTTGTTACAGTGACATAAAGCTAACACAAGCCCCTTCCAAATAATCTTACACAATTCAACCAGTCTTACCTGCTTTTGGGATGCTAAAAAATTACTGAGAAATGTAGTTTGAGAACATTTAGGTTCATAACTCATGTGGACAATCTACCACCAGAAGACACATCTTAAGCGATCAGGTAGTAACATTACCTTGCTATTGATAGGGACTGCAATATAGGTAGTTTTAAGTTTGCCTGTCTGCTATGGAGGATGTCAGGCATTTGAGAAAATGTAGAGAAAGGAATTCTGTATCTTCGTATGCTGGCTAAATCTTTTTATAGATGTTTTCATCCATAGGAAAACCCTAAGATGCCAAACATGGTAGTGCATGCCTAATCCCAGCACTCGGGGAAGGTAAGGCAGGAGTATCACTACAAGTTCACCAGCCTGGGCTACACAGTTCAGGATTAGCCTGAACCACACAGTGAGAGACCCTGTCTCAACTCCCTCCTTTCCCCGCAAAAGGGCCTAAGATGCTCTGATACTCTGGAGACCCCACAGAAAATGCATAGCTCTAGAGGCAAAAATGTACATCAGATCATCATAGTGTAGTCTATGAAATGGTGAATCTGAGGGGTCTGTACGAAGTCCTCCAGAAGCACAAAAACAAGGTGGGGTTTGGGGTTACTAGGCAAGATGTAGGCAAAGATGGTCCTGACCCAAATATACAGAATGGATCAAATCACATCTATTTCAAAGACTTATGAGATCTATAGTTTTCTTGTGTTAAGGAGACCGAATCCAGTGCTTTCACAATGAGCTACACCCCCGACTCCACCCCTCTTCTAAAAAATTTTGAGACAAGGTGAGATACATTTTTTTTTTGGTAACAGGGATTCAACTCAGGACCTTGTGCTTGCGAGGCAGGTGGCAGAACCACTGAGCTAAATCCCTGGCTGGAGATTCATTTTTAATGATGCCAGATTAAAGAGTAAATATTTCTCATAGCACTGATTTGGTGCAGTACTATGCATTTTTCCCATGTGATCACTTAAGGATTCAGAAGCCAGTTACTGTATTTTATGTACAGTTTACATGAGAGTTTTAAAAAATGACTGCCATGGGGTGGACTTACTATACGAACCTTCACATTTGGGGATTGAACCTTGCTCTGCCGGAGCTTAGGGTTGCTTAAGCAACTTTCCAATAGTGGATTCCAAAGAAGTCAATCCACTTGGAGGAGGTCTGTCCCTAGGCAGGCCTTGAGCGTTTCATGTCCCTTCCTCTGGTTTGGCAGATAACAATGAAGTGGCAGTTTCTCCAAGGGTTTCCTTTCTTCTTTATTAGTAGTTAATTCTTGTTCAGCAAGGTGATTACTCACTGCACTATTGTTTTCCTTATTGGTTCTTTCACATTTCTCATCTTTTACTGCAGCTTTCATGTTAAACATTAGGGATTTGCATAAGCTTTTAGGTTTTTTTGGGTGGTATTGGAGACTAAACCTGATGCCTTTGTACTTAGCTATACCCAGAGCCTTATTTTTGACACTAGATCTTGCTAAGTCATCTGGGGTGGGCTCAATCAGTAGATCTTTCTGCCTCTGCTTCCCAGAGTATGGGATTACAGGAATGCACCACCAAGACTAGCTTGAGTTAAAATTTTTTGTTTTGGTACTGAGGATTGAACTCAGGACCTTGAGCTTTTGAGGCAGGTGCAGTGCCACTGAGCTAAATCCACAGCCCTTGAGTTAAATTCTTGAAAGGCATCTTTATCTTTTTACTTCTCCCACTCAGTATCTGAATTGCTCCAACCTTCATCATTGGTGACTAATCTTGTTCTTTTGTACTCTCACCCAGGAGGGACATGTGAAGGATATCATGGACATCAATATGAAAGAATACTGTGGTGTGGGCCGGGGATTTAGCTCAGTGGTTTCGCCGCCTGCTGTGCAAGTGCAAGGACCCGAGTTCGATCCCCAGTACCCAAAAAAAGAAAAAAAAGAATATTGTGATGTGATGGGTGTGTATGTGTCTAGGCTCAAACCTGCCAAGCAGCTGTTTGCCATGGCTACTGCTTAGTCACTTATTAACTTAAGCAGAGCAAGCTGGCTATCAGAAAAGGGACAAAAGCCCCTATCTCCTTGGTGGCAGTGACACTGAACTGTGCAGAAGAATCAATTCCACCATGTCCCTCCATACCAAGGGAAAGAACAGAGATCCATGCTCAGTACAGCTGAACACTCAAATTTAAGAATTTCGATGAGATTATTTTCAAACTTTGACACATAATTCATATAAATACATACAAAATGCACTCATTCTAAGTATGGTTTGAAAGATTTTGACATATACCCATGTAATTACTAACCACAAAAAGTTCCCATCACCCTTTGCAGTCTTACCTGCCCGACCCGTCCCCCCCAGCCTTATGCAATCGGTGATGTACTTTCTTTAGATTGTCTAGAATACCTTACAAATCCAATAGCACACTGCTTTGCTTTGGTATCTTGCTTCTCCTCCTCAGCATAATGATTTGGAGATTTACCCATGTTGCTGCATGAGCCAGTAACTGCTTTGATTTTGGAGTGGTATTAAATTATGGATTAACTAGTTTTTTTTTTTCATTCACTTATGAATAGCCATTTGGTTGATTCCAATTTTTGCCTATTTAAGAATAAAGCTACAAACATTTGTATACAAATCTGGATAAGGCAACCTGTTTTCATTTTTCGTAGATAATACTTAGGGATAGAATTGGTGGGTCTTATGATAAGACCATGATTAACTTTATGAGAAACTGCCAACCTGCGTTGCAGTGATTATACCAACTCTGCAAGGGCTTTCTGCACAGGCCTAGGGTTCCAGAAACTGAGTCAACACTTGACTCTTCCAGCTGAATATGTTAATAAATGTTAATCCTTTCAAAGAGGAACTCAATCTCAGACTGGCTTCAAAACCAGACAACCAGGTACATCAGCAGAAAAGGACGGTCATGGATAGGAGCCCCCCGCCCCCGCCACTTTGTGGTACTATGAATTGAACCCAAGGAGCACTGAGCTAAATCCCTGTTTAAAATTTTTTATTTTGTAGTGTTGTGAATTTAAAGTAGGGCATCTGCACTGACCTTACATCCATTGCCTTAAAAAAGTTTTTTTGGGGGGTACCAGGGATTGAACTCAGGACCTTTCGCTTGTGAGGCAGGTGGCGGCACCACTGAGGTAAATCCCTACCCCCCTCCCCCATTTTTTTTGAGGGAAGGTCTTGCTAAGTTGCTCAGGCTAAGCTTAAACTTGTGATCCTCCTTGCCTTGACTTCTCAGAGTGGGATTATAGTCATGTGCTGCCATAAGGGACTACTTCTGTTTCTATGGTCATTCCCCACATGTTTACCTCCATCACTACTACCTCCATAATGACTTGGATACAGAAGTCTACTCAACTTTGCTTCCACACTTCTAAATGCCTATGAGTATCTTTTTTTTGGGGGGGGGGCGATACTGGGAATTGAACCCAGGGCCTCACCCATGCTAGCAAGTGCTCTACCACTGAACCACATCTTCAGCTCCAGTTGAATATCTTGTTGCCTACCTCAGCCTATCTTAAGTTAGTCTTTACTTCCCCCAGACTCCTGGTTTGCCACCTTTCCACCTGTCACCCACAGACAAACATCAGTCCTCATTTTCTCCTCTCCCTGGCCTCCATTTATGAGTCTCTTCATTCCATCTTACAGGATTCTTTGCTCAGTTTTTTCTATTTCCACAGTTACCAAACTTGTTCAGGACCCCATGAACTCTTGCTTGAAACTTGACAAGAACTTCCTAAGGAGCTGTTAGGCCTCCAAATTCTCACAAATCTTCACTCGTCTTTGAAACAAATAATCAGAAGATCCCTTGACATAAAAAGCTGAAAAGCATGAGGGAAAGAAGGGAACATTAAGAGATCTGAACAGAAGTGAAACATGAGATTTCTCTGATAGTCAAGTACATTCACTTAAACTTTCACAGTCATACAAATCATAAGCAACACGTCTTACTCTCTTTTTCTGGGGACAAGGTCTCATTATGTAGTGCAGGCTGGCCTTGAACTATGTAGCCCAGGCTGGCCTCGAACTCACACTGATCCTCCTTCCAGGTGTGCTGGGATTCCAGGCATGCGCCACTACGCCCAGCTTCTTTTTCTCTTAATAGAAGTACAAAATACATACCTTAACTCTTCGAGTAATGCTGAGGAATTGACAAGTTTTATCATAAAGTTCTTCCAGGTTTTCTCGGTCCCAGTAGAAATCGGGAGTTATCAAGAAGTCTGAACTCAAGTTTATACGGTGTCTTTAAAAAAAAAGAGAAAATCACGTTTTTATTAATCTTGAACTAAAAATCATTGTTTCTATATTTCATATTTACATGGTGCTATATGGAAGTATTCTTAAATGTTGACTTTGCAAAACACTTATGACAAATATGTAAATTAAAAATTTGCAAAACTTCACATTTCTCAGCTAAATTCAGTCTTCAATAACTATGGGTTGAAGGGAGGGGAGGGAATTGGGGAAAAAAGAAAAATCAAGATATATTATGTACAGGTACAAATTCCTTATGATGAATGTTATTATGTATATCTAAAATATACCAGTAAGACTTAAAACAGTATTTATGAAGTAGAAAATAAAAATTTTGTTTTCAATTTCTAACTTTTATTTGAGAGGTTTTACAAAATATATACATATATATTTACATATATGTATATATATATGTATATGTGTGTGTGTGTGTGTATGTGTGTATATATATTACACGATTTTTGGGGATAGGAGACATAACACAAAAACTAGATAGACATAAATAAAAATTGTTAAATCTGATTCCTGTTATTTCCACCCTTTCACTCCCAGTAGCAACCATTAAGTTTTCTTTGTATCCTTCCAGTCATTATGCAAACACAGGAAGAGCAAACATACACATTCTCTCTTAATTTCTACCTTTTCTATAAAGAGGTCTAAGATTACTTTAAACAATTAAATGAGCCAGGTGTGGGAGCACACCTGTAATCCCAGAACTCTGGAAGGGGGAGGCAGAAGGAGGATCCTAAGTTCAAGCCCAGACTGACCAATGTATGAAGAAACTGTTTCAAAATGAAAAGTTAAGAGGGCTGGGCATTGAAAAAAAAATTTAACTTGTAAAAGTTATGGATAAATAGCCGTTAACTAGAAAAGAATACCTTAGAGAAGAACTCAGAAGAACAGTGGTAGGCCCTCTTAACCCATCACACAAGTCAAATCCTCTATTCTTCCCAAGGAGAGGTCCTGCCGACACAGATGTGGCCTTCCAGATCTTTCCACATGTCTTATGTGTGTGCACGGACGTGTGTGTGTGTGTGTGTGTGTGTGTGTATTTAAACTAGGGATTCTCATACAAATGGGATCATGCTACATGTAATTTGACTCAATTTTGCATCTAGTATATCTTGCCATGTTTCTTGTTACATATCACATTCCTTTTAATAACACAAGCACTTTTATCGTAAAGATAAGAAAACTTTGGGTAAGAAAAGTCAAGCTTTATAGAAACTTCATAAATCTTAAGTATATTTAGTCTTAACTTTCAAGCTTTAAAATTATATTTACTATGTTAGATTCTGCTTGCATTACCATGAACACAGGAGAGCAGACTCTCCTCTGTGGGGTGCTGACAGTGGGGGACCTGGAATCGGGGCCCCTCCCCACAAGAAGTGTGCAGAGGGCGAAACACTAGCCCACTGCTCTCCAGGGACAGCACCCAAGGAAGATGGGGGCGGGCAGGGCCGGGGTGTGACTCTCAGGCCCTTGGGTAACTCATTCCCCACTAGAAGGGATGAAAGTGGACAGTGCTACCCAGTGAGAGAAACAGTGAGATCCATAAAACTTGGGGGAAATTAGGGATATTAAAGGAATAAAATACACTGAAAATCTTTCCAGACATTTGTCTAAAATAAAACATTACTGTATTTTATCAATTTTAAGACGCAATTCTTTCCATTTAACATCCTACAATTGGGAGCAACTTAAAATTGATGTATTAATGTAACAGTTGTGACTTGTTGCCATTACCTTAAACAGTTTATTTTCCTTGCTTCCCTTTCACGTATGCTCAGATGGGAATGTAATAGAGTCTATATTCAAATAAGACTAAGAGGGCTATTTCAGTAAGTGTCAAATTTAAATTCTATGATAAAGCATCATCATAATCCTTACCTATGGCATTTTTGTGTCTCAGATTCAATGAAATATAGTACATAACTTCTGTATCCATTACAGTAAATCTATTTAGCATTACAATGCAGTGTGTTTTTACTGGGAATTCCCACTGGCCACATTCCAGAATATACCTTCCTACCTTAACATTTACTGTGCCCTCTGATGTGGGTTTAATGTGGACTAATTACCATCGCTCTTGCACATGTTGAATTCCCTCCAGTACAGTCCTACAGCCTGTCTGCTTCTCGTGGGAGAGTTCTGCTGGCTTATGATTAATGAAATGGAAATAGCTGTAATTCCCCCCCCCCAAAAGGTATATATGTTTATTTTTTTAATTGTTATTTGTTTGCTTGTTTTTGACACAGGGTCCCACTCTGTAGTTTAGCCTGGCATTGAACTCATATGTAGCCCAAGCTGGCCTTGAACTCATGGTGATCCTCCTGCCTCAGCCTCTCTAGTGCTGGGATTACAGGTGTGTACCACCATGCCTGGCCTAAATGTTTACTCTTTACTATGGAACTACAGCCATGATTTCTTTAGATTGTTAAATGTATGAAATATTTTATTTATAAGACAAAATTTTACCTTAGGGCAAAGAGTTCACCCATTTTCTGCATAACTTCTTTATGAGATAGTTTCACTTTCTTCCCAGCTTTTAAAGCCTGTTTGGGAGAGAAGAAAACCACATACACAGTCAGCCCTCAGTACCTGTGGGTTCTGTGGATTCAACTAACCACAGGCAGAAAATATTTTTTATTTATTTTTTATTTTAATTTTTTTGGTACCAGGGCTTGAACTCAGGACCTTGTGCTTGCAAGGCAAGTGTGATGCCACGGAGCTAAATCCCCGGCCCAAGAAAATATGTTTTAAACAATAGCATCTGTACTGAATACTATTTTCCCTTGTCATTATTTCCTAAAGATGACAGTGTAACAACATTTACAGGGCTGGGAGTATAGCTTAGTTGTACAGGACTTGCCTACCAAGTTTGAGGCCCTCAATTTCATCTCAAGCATTGCAAATAAACAAAACAGAAAACCAAATAAAACCCAACCCACTGTATACAGATTTACATTGTATTAGGCATTATGAGTGATGTCTAGATGATTTAAGGTATATAAGAGGATGCGCATGCGTTACATGCAAATCTCTGCCATTTTATATAAAGATGAGCACCACAGGCTTTGGAATCCTGGGGTGGGAGCCTGTAGCGTCTGGAGCTAATCTCCCATGGATACTGAGGGACGACTGTATATATGTATATATCTTCCAATATGAACTGGGCTCATCCAATTCTGAAACGGCATAATTTTAACTTTATGTAAATAACTCTTACACGATGGTGTCTCATGTGTATCTTAACTCACCCTGAGATTTCAAACTCTTAGTAGAAACCTTACACTTTATTTTTTTCATTCCCCTTTGCAGTAGTTTGGACCCTGAGTGTCCCGCAGAGGCCCTGGTGTCAAAGGCTTGGGTTACACTCTGGAAGGTGGTAGCATTAGGAGGCGGGACCATGTGGGAGGGAGGCAGGTCTTGGGCTGGGGTGGGATCCTGCTCCTTGTTCTTCTTCTCACTTTGTTCTTCGCTGTTATAAACATGTGCTTTCTACAACGGTATGTTTTCTTACCACCTGCCCCAAAACAGTGGGTCTGCCCAACCACTAACTCAAGCTCCGAAATGTGAGCCCAAGCAAGCCCTTCCCCCATATAAGCTGTCTCAGGTATTCAGTTACAGTAACAGAGAGCTAATATACCTCTCCCATCAACATTTCCTATGGCACACATTTCTCATCTCTTATTGAAAAGCAGGGCCTCTTCTCCCAAGAATAATCAATTATATTATTCTGTCAATAAAAATAAAATTAGTTATAGTAAAAATGACTTTTAATGCACTTTGAAATTTTAATACAACCTAATAGTTTTATATAGTAAATATATATAACTAAATATATACATTTCTATATGCTGGTATTCTCAAAATTTAGCAAAATACTTTTTTGGGGGGTACTAGGGATTGAACTCAGGGCCTTCACAATGAGCTACATCCCCATCCCCCTTTTAATTTTGAAACATGGTCTTGCTAAGTCACTAAGTTGACAAGGCTGGGCTTGAACTATGATCCTCCTGCCTCAGCATCCCAGAGTGCTAGGATTATAGGTGTGTATCACCATGGCTGGCTCTAAATACTTTTTAATCATGAAAAAGTGGTGGGAATCACCTTCCTTAAAAAGGAAAGATTTCACTGTTTTTCTTTTCATTTATATTAATATTGTACCATACAGGAAAGTAATCTGGAATTTAAAAAACAATATGAGATTTCCTCTTTCATTTTGTACATAATTGGAAGGTTTTTTCTTACCTCTGGAATTGACTGAATAGACTCAATAAATTTATCCAGTGTTGCTTCCCAAATAGCTAGTTTCACTGAGGAAAAAAAAAGTTAACATGAAACATTTACCATCATAATCATGTTTATACAAATGTATAAATGCAAATACCTTTGCTGCCAGTTCAACAATAATTCTGATAAGGGGCAGTGCTGATGTAGGAAATGACAGGAGATTCAGATTTCCAAGCCCTGTTGGCGGGCCCGAAAGACAGCCCTGATTTTCTAACGTGCACCTTAGAAACCGGAAGGTGCCAGGCTGCCTGGACAGGGGTGGCTCTGCGGAGGGGCAGGTGAGGCTCCCCGGCCTTCCACTCTGCAGGACTCCGACAGGAGTGCGGACATCTGCGTCTGCAGCTTAATGCAGACTTGTGAGAAACAGAGCTTGGATAGTTTTATCGGGGGTATAGCTCTTTCAGAAAAAGCTTAAAAGCTGCTATGACTCTGTCCCATGTATGTGAAACACAGGAGCATGGTTTCCTCCAGAGGCCGTACCCACTCAGTCACAGAGGGCAGGGCTGAGTCTGTGAACTGGAGACCATGAATGTGTAACAGCTGGTCACACAGAGAGACGGGAGAGGCAGACAAAGGCACTGGCCACAGGACAAAAGTACTTTTGGAGGTGAGCTTTCTCAGTACAATTAACATGGGATGCATAACTTGCAGAGACCATTTTTTACACCATCTGCTATATATAAATGTTTCTGTTCAGTTTTCTGTGAAAACATGCCAAAATCTTTACCAAGTACTAAAACTTCCACGATGAGATGAAAATGAATACCTTTTCCAAAAAGTAGCAATAACTTACCAGAAAGGCAAAGAGCATTGGAGAAAGCAAATTTCTCTAGAATGGCATCATCTAAATCCAGCTCTGAATTTAACTTGATTTCTCCTCTGTGAAGTTTAGACTGTCCTCTGTGAAAAATGAAAAAAAGCATCTTTTAAATCTTTCAAAATCTTTAAAAATTAATATTTATTTGTTTGTTTGTTTATTTATTTATGTATTGTTTTACTATGCAGCCTAGGCTGGCTTTGAATTCAAGGCAATCCTCCAACCTCAGCTTCCCAGTGTGCTGGGATTACAAATGTGCACCACCATGCCCGGTATCTTCCAAATTTTAAAAGTACTTTTAAATTTCTCTTTTGAAAAAATATGCCCTATAATCTTTCTAGAGGTCACTTTAACAATATATACCAAGAATTATATAAATTTTCGCAGAATCTTTAATGGAACTAATTCAATTTCTAGAAATATATTCCATGGAAACAAAAGATGTGGAGAAAAATTTGTGTACAGAAATTTTTTTTTTTGGTACTGGGGATCGAACTTGGGTCCTTGCAGTTGCACAGCAGGCGGCAAAACTACTGAGCTAAATCCCTGGCCCCTAGAAAACTTTTTATGGTGAACTGTTTAAGAATAAAAAAAAAAAAGGAAAAGAAACTAAATATTCAATAGAAGGATGTTCAGTCTTACTAATTCCACAGAATACAGATCAGAAACAAGAAGCACAAAGAGCTGGGCATGGTGGCTCATGCCTGTGAGCCCAGCACTTGGGAGGCTGAGGCAGGAGAGTCCCCATGAGACCAGCCTGGGTTACATAGTGAGTTCAAGGCTAGCCTGAACTGCATATTGAGACCTTGTCTCAAAAAACAAAACAAACAAAATGTAAGCTTTCAATTTTGGGGTTGTACTAGCTACTTAATTTGTGGCTACCCTGACAAGTTAAAAAAGTTACCTGTATTCCTCTAATATTTATTATGACATAGCCTTTTTATTTGTAGCAATAACTTTTTTCTTAAAATTAGTCCCCATATTCAGAAACAGTTTATTTCCTCTGCTTTACCTAGTTTTTTTCCAAGTGCCCTTTTCATAATTTGATAAAAGTTGCTTACTCTATTTTCTTGTAGTTAAGCTCTTCGTTTTCCCAATGTACCAATGCAATTTCATATGGCTGAATTTCATGTTTCTCTAGAATCTGCAGCACATGCTTCATCTAGAAGAAAAGGAACATTCACCTGAAATTGAGAACAACTTCCTTAGTGCAAGCATGTTTTGGGGCTGATTGATGTTTCTAACAGTTTTCATTGTATTTAATGGTGTGTTTTCTGTTGCTTAGTTTTTTTTTTTTTTTGGTACTGAGGATCGAACTTGGGTCCTTGTGCTTGCGCAGCAGGCGGCAAAACCACTGAGTTAAATCCCCAGCCCTTGTTGCTTAGATTTTACCTTTTTTTTGGTATTGGGGATCAAACTTGGGTCCTTGGGGTTGGAGGGCAGCAGTGGAACCACTGAGCTAAATCCCCAGCCCTATCTGTTGCTTAGTTTTTAAGGAAAATGCAAACTCACGGTGATATTAAACTAATCAGGATGACAGGTACATTTTTTTTTGGCATGTGGAAAATATAGATGAGCACAGGAAAATAAAAATTTTTGTTATCCCACCACTCAAACAAAATCACTAGTAACATGGTTTGTACTTACGAAATGTCTAAAACATGTAAAGACAAATACCTGTAAAGATCTAAGCACCACAAAAATTGTACAAAAGTGACTGTTTTTGCTCACCTGGAATTCAGTCCCAATGCTCAGAGGTAATCGTGACTAAACTTGGCGCATAGCCTTCCACACTTTTCTAAGTGTACATGTGTGTACTCACTTTTATGTGAAATGGGATTCACACTACACGTAAGGAACATTTTCAACACTATTCTTAGCGGAGGAGCTGCAATTTAATTAACCATGTTAAATGTCCATCCCAAGGAATGCTATTTACTCAATGCATCATCCTCATGCATGGATCTTCATAGCCCTGTGAGGATATTTCTTTAGGAACTGCTAGCTCTAAAGACAGGTGGGGTGGGGTATGCCTCAAAGGTATACCTTCGAGTGCTTGTGTAGCAGGTGTTAGGCCTTGGGTCTGACCCCCAGCACTAGAGACTAAAGAAAAAGACATGTGTGCTTGTAATTTTGATACATATTGCTAAACTGCACTGCAAAGTAATTTTTCTAATTTAAAAATCTAAACACTTATGACAGCATTCATAAAAACTGCAGGATAAAAGGGTGGTGGTATATGGCTGAAATTCCAGCATACCAGGAGGATAAGGAAGCTGCAAATTTGAGCCCAGCCTGGGCAACTTAGTGACTTAGTGAGACCCTGTCTCAAAGGGGTTAAAAAAAAAAGGGAAGCTGAGGCAGGAGGACTGCTGTGAGTTCGAGGCTAGCCTGCACTACACAGCAAGACCCTGTCTCAAAAAAAAGAAAAAAAGGGGCTGGAGATGTAGCTCAGTGTGAAGGTTCTGGGTTCAATCCCCAGCACTACAAAAACAAACCCCACAGGACATTTTTCCTGGTACCGGGGATCGAACTCAGGACCTTGCGATTTCGAGGCGTGCAGTGCCACTGTGCTAAATCCCCGGCCCCTGGGCATTTTTAACGTTCTTTCACAACTTTGCAACTTCAGATAGACAACACGTATCTTCTTATCTAGAGCCAGAGAGCTTGTATCAGAACCTGGTTTGAAGTCTGGATTATTTTGTTTTGTTTTTTGTTTTTGGTACCAGGGATTGAACTTGGGTCCTTGCGCTTGCAAGGCAGGTGGTGGAACCATTGGGCTAAATCCCCGGCCCTTGTATCTTCTTATATTTATTGGTCATCTCCATTTCCTTTTCCCCGTAATTCCTTACCTACTATGTGCATAGCGATTTCTTTTTAGTAAAACTGGGATTGTATGAAGCGTACTTTTTAACCAGCTTTGATATTATAGGGGTTATAGTTTATAACTTGGTCTTTTAACTATCACCTACATAAGTCATGTCCCAGGAGTATTTTTCCACATGATTTTTAAGAACTGTAGTATATTTTAATTTTACTTTGTGAATATATTTAATAAAATTTCTATTACTGTATATTTTGGTGATTTCCAACATTTTCTAGTATAAAAAGATTTGATGAACATTTTTGTACATAATTTACCATATATAACTGTGATTACATACTTTGGATAACTTTTTGTTTTTGAGACAGGATCTCACTATGTAGCCCAGGCTGGCCTTGAACTCATGGCAGTCCTCTTGCCTCAGCCTCCTGAGAGTTGGGATTACAGGTGTGGACCACACCCAGCTATTGGGACAACTTTCTAAGTGTGAACTTGCTGGGTTAAATGTAAAGCTTTGATGTAATTACCAAATTACCTCTAAAACAGTTGTATTACAAAGCCTGATTTGGGTATTAAAGAGATTATTTCCTATAAGTGGTATAAACAAAATTTGATCTAAAATAAGCTTCTGATAGACTGTGTATATCATTCATTTTATATATTATCATATGCAAACATAACTGTTTCTGCAGTGTTGTCAGGATGGTTTGGACTCTTCACAAATCAGTGTGCATCCAGAAAATGGAAAATAGAGAACATTTTTTAAAAAGCCAAAATACTATATATTTTAGAAGATGAAAGTGACAGAATATCACATAATGCAAACAAATAAATTATCTTCCAATATCTCAAACTACAGAGTGCCAATTAACAATTCAGTCTTAGAAAACTACATTTTAATACTTTTACACTTTATTTATACTTACGGTTTTTTCTTTCACATTCCAAAACACGGCAGCTCCTTCCCTGATTTAAAAGAGTAAGAGTCAACTGAATGCATTTGTTAGGGTCATATATAAAGTCATGCTTAGGTAACATCTAGAATAAATATGATTTATTGACTGATTAGATAATTTGGACCCTAGATTGAGTTCTAAAATAAGAGCTACTTTTTGATTCTTGATAAAACCCGATTTCTCAGAAATCTATGGTTTCTCACATGGATTGTAGAATAGGTAGCTATTACTGTGACACTATCTAACTTCATGTTATCTAGATGCTTCTATATCTGGTTGACTTCTGATGTATGGAAATTCAAAGTGAAGAAAATATTTTCATGTGGGTGGTGCTAAGGACTGAACCCAGGGCCTTAGGCAGGCTACTAGACAAGCGCTTTACTAACGAGCTACATCATCAACCCAAAATTAGGAAAAGTTTTGAGACCCCCCCCACTGTAGCTCTCATTAGGCAGATTCTGGTATGAGAAAGAATAAAGGATCATGTTTCTAACAGTTGTGGAATAAAGCAAACAGTTCCTACAGAATAAAGCTTCCTCCCACAGACTGCTTAGAACACCTATAAGTAAGCCACAGGAGGCTTTCTGAATTAATCCTGACTTTGACAGAACTTAAAGTTTAAACACTATAAATCAACTTGGTTTCATCTCTGAAGTTTGCCATGTTGAACTGTTTTAGGTAGTAAGTGGAGTGGAGTTATTCCCTGGGTTACTGTGCTAGAGGAGGAAGGAGTAAAGAGGATGACCCTGTATCATTCTTTCTATATTTCTTAAAGTGCTTAGTAGGTACGGGGGTCTGTGTTTACTGTAGCATTTGGGATAAAATAGGAGTATGATCCAGTTTCTACCCTCTACGAGCTCCGACATGGAAAAGACCGACACTCAGACCACTGATTATTTACAAGAGTGTGATTGGCACACTAAGGGTCATGCAGAGTGAACTATGGGATGCCCAGCAGAGGGTCATGGCTCCTAAAGGACCTGCAGAGTAGCCAGGTGAGGAATAGATGTCATAATGTGAGCAATCAGCTTAAAGAAGTAGGCAGATAGGTGTGGTGGTGCACATCTATGAATCTATTCCTGGAGGCTGAGGCAGGACTGCAAGTTTGAGGCCAACCTGTGTAAATTACACAAGGTCCTGTCTCAAAAAGGGGGTGGGGAGGACTGTGGATGTAGCTCAGGATGAAGGCTCTGAGGTCAAGCCTTATTATGGCAGTAGGAACAGGGAGCAGGAACATTGTGCTGAAGTAGTCTGGTGGGAGTCCAGGGAATTCTAAGCAGAAGAGTGTTCTGATCGGAGCTGCCTACTAAAGAATGACCCTGCCTACAACTGAGACAAATTGGTAGGAGGAGGAGTGAGCAGGCAGGGAGGAACCAGTGAGTGTTGGGAGAGGGTCTCAGGACATGGCTTTGAAGGTATTCAGTTCAGAGAATCACTCGGAGGCAGAAGTGAGCCAATGAATTGTGCACCTTTCCACCTACTGCCACGCTGGGCAACACGGTGCTCAGAAGCCTCCGTGGCAATGGAGCATCTGAGCCATTTACAGATGAGCTGTAAATGTACAATTCGAAGTGGAGTTCAAAAACTAGGATGAAAAGGAGAACGGAAAGTCTCATTTTGATTATACGCTGAAATGATGAAATTTTGGGTGAGATAAAATACACTGAATTCAGGCCGGGGATTTAGCTGAGTGGTGCTGTGCCTGCCTCCCAAGTGCAAGGTCCTGAGTTCAATCCCCAGTACCAAAAAAACCCACTGAATTCAACTTCAGGCAACTTGATATTATTATTCATATTGTTCAAAATTAACTTCATCTTTTTTATTGTTAAGAATGTGATGAGTAGGAAATGTATCATCACATATAAGGCTTACATCATAGTTCTATGAGAGAGAAGTCCTCAGAAATCCTGACTACTCTCTTGAGGGAGAAGGATACTAGCATTCTAACTGGACTAAGTGTCACAAAATTGATTTTATTTAAAGTTAGGGCCATAGAAAAGGTAGGTGTCCATACTAACAAAGATATGGCTTCCAGTTTACATCAACTGTAAGGATTAAGGCCACAAAAACACTCTAATAAAGTTTGGAGCTTTTTCTTTGAGACAGAGTCACAACCTATGTTGCCAAGGTTGGTCCTGAACCCCTGGCTCAAGTGAAGCTCCCTGCCTCAGCTCCCAAACAGAATTACAGGCATGTGTTTAAAGCCTGGATTCATATGCATGTTCCATGGATTTCTGTTCTGCCACTTACGAGTATTAGTCCTATGACTAGGACTACAAAATGGGAACAGCAGATGTTTCTTGGTGGTGAAGATAGCAGGAGATTGTTTCCCATGGCGTCGGTTAACACTGTCACTCCCGGGCAGCTACTCTGCTGAGGTTGGTATTATAACAATCTTTAAATGGAGTAAGTTGTGTGAGCCAGGGTTCCAGTATGAAATCTCTAGAGACAGGGTGGGCCAGAACTTTAGCTGAAGTCTATAGAAGGGAAAGGAAGAAAAGCAAGAAGATGGCAAAGAAGAAAGGAGAGGGGGGAGTCGGTGTGTGCCTGATAAGGGGCCTTGGATGGCCAGAAGACGGGTGCTTCACCAAACTCAGTCGATGAGTCCGCATTCACCAATGGAGATAAACCAAGGGAAAACTACTGTATTGACTTTAAATTAAAAGGATTTATCAGGCAATCCCTAAACCTGACAGGAATTAGATGAAAATGTAACTCAGAACTATGTATATTCTGACCACGCAGACTGAAAGGTGCACACACATCTTTAAGAGATCAGTGAATTGGCCACAGAACCTCCTCCCAGTGGGATTTCTCTCTTTCCTGTCTCACCTGAAGAAGAATATTGTTCCAGGATCACCTTCTTTTGCGCAACTTTCCACATCCATCACCAAAGTATTTGCTGCATCTGTGATTTAAAAGAATTATAAGGCCTTAAGAGTCACCTGTAAACATTTTTATGAAATACTTACAGTCACTTTAAATACCACAAAACACTATAATATAATCTCCAACTTTCTACTGTACTAGACTTTTTTTTTGGTACTAGGGATCAAACTCAGGACCTTGTGCTTGAGAGGCAGGTGCGGTGCCACTGAGCTAAATCCCTGGCCCTGTACTAGACTTTAGAAGGGATTTAAAATACGAAAATGAAAAAAAAAATCCATAACAAATGACATTTCTAAAACATTCCTCAACCTGTGATAGTATTATGAGTACTATTTGTAATTGCTCACCCACACCCACTTTGACTCAGTAGCAACTAATCTAGTTAATAAATATCAAAATGTTAGGTTCAATACAACTAAAGTTAAAGAAATAAACAACTTGTGCTGAGTGTGGTGGCACGGGCCTGTAACCCCAGCACTCAGGAGGCTGAGACAGGAGGATCGCCATAAGTTGGAAGCCAGCCTGAACTGCATAGCAACACCTTGTCTCAAAAAAATAAAATAAAATAAAATAAAAAAGAATGAAACAATATGGTAAAAAATTGATTTAAAATAAATTGTGTTTTCTTTACAGGCCACCTTATTAATAATATAATTTTAATATTCCCAAGCTATTCATTCTACTTAATGAAACAATATTGGATAAAGGAACAAAAGAAAATATACAGAAATAAAGATATCTACCATTTCAAAACATACCCAATTTCAATACCACTATAGTTATGTTACTTAGAACTTTTAACTTTTTAAATATTATCAAACATATACCAATATACATTAGTAAGCAACTGCTTAATATAAAATCCTAGGAAAAGACAAGGATCACAACCCCGGGAAGCCCAGCAGTATAGTAACATTTCTTATTATATAAATGTTCTATAATGTAAATTACAAAGATGGTAATATATCAATTAAGATATAATTATCAACTTGTAAAAAGTTATAAATTTTTTTTCTTTTTTCACAGTACTGGGGAATTAACTCTGGGGTGCTGTATCACTGAGCTACATCTTCACCCCTTTTTATTTTTCATTTTGAGACAGGGTCTTGCTAAGTTGCCCAGGCTGGCCTTGAACTTTAACCTTCCTGCCTCGGCCTTGTGAGTAGCTGGGATCACAGGTATGCTGCCATGCCTGGCTGTATATAATTTCTTAATGTAACATTAGGAACCTCAAAGCCTCAGATTCTTAGTAGACTGGGGCCTGGAGGAATTAAGAGACCAAACCCTTAAACTACCTTATCAGGGTGAACTCTAACTTCCCTAAGTACTACATCCTATACAAGACAGTTTGTTATCTAGCCAGAAGCAACAAAATGAAATGGAAAAGGTGGCTGGGGCGCAAGGTTCAGGATATGATTCCCCTGAAATGAAAACAAAACCAAAAAGACCCTGGGCAACAAGTCCCCAACTCTGCAGTACCTGGAGCCACACTCCTGCCAGCCTACAGTGCCCAGGGAGTACCTCAAACTCATCTTAGGGGCTTGGAACAGAGCTGTTTTCCTAAGTCAAATTGTTTTTGTCATCAAGTGGCAGTTTGTTCAGATCATCCAGGCCAAAAAAGCACAAGGACACTTCAACTGTTTGTGGGCTCAATGAGTCTTTACAGAGAATTTTCTCTGTAGCAGGGAGGTCTGCATCTTGCTATTTTTACTACTCTTTAAAGGCAAATTGATAAAATTTCTGGATATTGTGCTATCTTCAGATTCACTAAAATTTTCTTCCACCAAGATGTTATGTCATTTATTAATGTAAAATAGGTTAATTTCTCAAGAATCCTTCCTAGTGTTAGCCTAAAATCCAGTTAAGTTTAATTTTTTTTTTTTATATTCATTGTGTTCATCTTTAAACTAATTCAGTTAGATTTAAAGTCCTGGGCTAGGGGGCTGGGGATTTAGCTCAGTGGTTCCGGCGGCTGCCTCGAAAGCACAAGAACCGGAGTTTGATTCCTGATACCCCACCCCCCAAACAAAAAACCAAAAAAATGAAATAAAGTCCTGGGCTGGTAAATTTCTTTTTAGAGGGTCTCGATCTCATGGTTCCATAATACTAAAACAAATGTGTAATGTGAAAGAAAGGTAGCTTGGGACTATAGTTTGGGTAAGTGTCTCCAAAGGCCCATATATTAATAAAAAGGTTTCATTCCCAGCCATGGCACTGTTGGGAGTTTGTGGGGCCTAGTGGGAGGAAATGAGGTCACTGGGGAAGTGCAGGCTCCTCCTCTTCCTCTCTTTGCTTGTGGGCTTCCTGACTGCTGCCTTGCCACAGCCCCAAAAGTGATTATGGACCAAACCCTCCCAACTGTGAGTCAAACCTTGCATTGTGAAAGCTGGCTAGCTCACATGGTCCTTGATGTTCCCAAGTAATAGTGATTCTTTAAAGATTAGATTATATTAATTTTAATCAGAAAACTAAATTCTATATAGATATATTTAGTTTCTTTATAAGTCATTTGCATAAACATTTGACACCTCAGGATACAGTCAACAGAAAAGTAGATCAAATAAATGCCACTTAAGACAGTATCACAGCAAAATTATTTTCCTGTACACTAACACACTTGGCTGCAGGGTCAAGCAGAAGTACCTGTAGGCAAGCTTGTTACTTCCATATATCCGCAGGAGGTCAGGTCTTGAGACAGATTTCCCAAATGATACTCATCTGCCGTGGCGAATGCTGTGCAGTGCATCAGGTTCTGTTTCAAGGATGAGCACAAGAAGGGTCACCAAGAGGCTCAGGCACCTCTGATGACTCCTGTGTTCCCTTAGGGGAACCCACATGGCAAAGCCAGTACACAGGAGTTTTCTTCAGATACCTCAGAACTTCACCCAAGGGATGCGATGAGGATGAAGACAAGGAAGATACAGGGAGATGAATTTCAGCTCAACCTGCCAAAGCTTCAGGTCGCCAGTGATGGGGCGGCCTATCCTGAGGGAGGCCGTGCCCACCAGGAATTCCCGGAGCAGACTGAGTAAAGGTGTCCTGTAGGGCCTGAGTGAAATAACTCCTCTCCAGCCCTGAGTCTCCACCACTTTCTCCCAGGTCATCTGACCATTTGTTACTAGCCTTGTACAGGCAGAGATTCCCAACTACACAGGGGAAGCAACACAGTTTTCAAACTGTAGTTTACAACCTGTTAGAGCTCTGATGTCAATTTCATTGGGCTAATCCATCTTTTTTAAAAAATTAAATGAATAAAATGGAAATACCACAGTGTATTACTCATAGCAAGAACAAATGTTTCTCGTATATATGTGCCTATGTATGCACACTGGGTCACGATGTAAAATGTTAAATGTATTTCTCATAAGGGATGTGGTCAAAATAAATTTGAAAGCTATCTACCCATGAACTAAGATGGCAGACACAAAAAATGTAAAAACTTTAGAGTATCAGAATAGCAGTAATGCCTACTTTATAGGCTTGTTTTAAAGCTTAAACAAGCTGATTCATATAAACTGCTCAGGACTGTTCAACATTTGCTAGATTATCATTGGTCAAAAGAAGTGTAATGAGTCACTAAATCAGCGTCTATTTTTTGGCCTTACTCATCTCAGCCCCCAGATTCTTTCTCACTCTGTGCATTCCCAAAACGGAATTGTGGAGCAGCAAGTGGTCTGGAAATTTCTTCCTTTCCTGTTATCTAACTCTTGCCTTTAGTCAAGAAAAGGTCCAACCATGCTTTGCCTTTCCTCGTGTTACACATTTTAGCATGTGGCTTTAAAAGCAGCAGAGGAGCTGCGTGTGGTGGTGCATGCCTGTAATCCCAGTACTCAGGAGGCTGAGGCAGAAGGATCACCAACACAGCAAGATACTGTCTCCAAAAAACACAAACAAAACCCAAAAAGCCAGGAGTGGTGCTACAACCCTTGTAATCTCAACACTCGAGAGACTGAGGCAGGAGGACTGCTGTAAGTTCAAGGCCAACCTGAACTACAAGACCCTGTCTCAAAAAAACAAACCCCTCCTCCCAATACAAACCAGTAGAATAAACAAAGGGCCCTCAGAGACACAAAACATATGAAGTGAATAAAATATCCACTCAGAAGCACAGAGCAACTCAATTAGACAATTAAGTTAGACAAACTGAAATTAGTGGAGAGAGTGGGCAGAGTTGGACTGCACCCTCCACTGGAAGGAGCAGATATGTGAAGGGTCCCGATAGAGACACACCCATGACCAAGTGTCAGAGAGCAGGCAGTCAATGCAGTATCGGAATCAGGACGCGCTAGCTCAGACCTGTGTGGCTCCCTGGAGTTACAAAGAGCTGACGAGAATAAACTGTGTGGCTGAAGGAGAGGGATGCTGTCAGGACCCATCAGGTGAGGGCACAGCAAGCAGGCTCCATTCAGTGACACTGGGCACTTCCTTTACTGAAGCTTGCTGGGCAAAGTCAAATACATTCAGGGGGTGGTAGGATGACTTCTGTGACTGCTCCAAAGGATATGCTCGCTTTAGGTGGGATGGGAAGAGCAGAGGCACAAGGAGAAGACAAGAGACAGAAAGGTGAAAACCCAGCTCAGGAGAGGATTGACTTGAAATTGTGCTGAGCTCAGCAGAGGCTGCTGGCTTCTCTAGGGCCAAGGGTTGCGAACTGGCAGCTTGGAGAACCGTCCATTTGAGTTGACCTACATAGCGCTTCAAAAAGGTAAGCTATCCGGGGCAGGGGATTTAGCTCAGTGGTTTCGCCACCTGCTGTGAAAGCGCAAGGACCCGAGTTTGATCCCCGGTACCAAAAAAAAAAGTGAGCTATCAATAGCAAATTCAGAGGTGTCACACAAAATCCACACTGCTACCTTTGGGCCAAGTGGGAGATCTGGCTGTCATGGACTAGGGCTGAGTAGAGGCCAGTGGTGTCCAAGGATGGGACATGGCTACTCATGTAACTTTTTCTTTTTTGTGGTACTGGGGATTGAAGCTAGCGCCTTTGGATTACTCAGCCTTTTTAAGGATTATTTTAAATTCTGAGACAGGGTCTTGCTAAACTGCTAATCTGCTGAGGCTGGGCTTGAATCTGCCGCTTCATAGAGTGCTGGGATTACAGGTGTGTAGCACACACCTAGCAGGGGAAATATACTCTGAACTGTAAATAGATTACAGATAAATCTTTAAACAGAATGTTTCACTTAGACACTTTTAACTCCGTCCTAAGTTTTCTGAAGACTGTCTCCTTTTCTCAGCATTTTCTTACACTGGCCTGAAGTTTTCTCTTATGTCACATGCTTATTGTAGCTTGCCATGCTACTCAAAAATTGCAGGCTACTATTAATAAAAAATCTGACTTCTTGGGACATCTTTTTTGGTTCTGTTTCCTCTGAAATTTCAAGTTTTTATATAAGTCCATTTGGTTAAGGGCAACAACTATGGTGTATGGTGTCTGCATCTATTAAAGGTACTGTTACTTTGAAAAGCTTTCAGTTTCACATGTGTCTTTTTCTGGCTTTTTGTAGTGAAACCTTATTTATTTAGCTCTAGTTACATATACTACGTATAAAGCATATTTCAGGTTTTAAGATGAGGGTCAATTTATTCTTAAATAGATGTGCCGAAGAACTGAAAACAGTTACTGGGTTTAAGTAAACAAAAATTAGGCCTTTCTATTTTAAAGGGTTTTTTGTGTTTGTTTTGGTGTTATTTTTTTTGTTTTCTGAGGCAGGGTTTCCTTATGTAGTTCAGGCTGGGCCTGAACTCACTATGTAGCCCAGGCTGGCCTCGAACTCGAGGTCATCCTCCTGCCTCAGCCTCCCAAGTGCTAGGATCACAGGCTTGCGCCACCACTCCTGGCTTTTTTTAAGACTGTATTTCAGTATGTGTTTTGTTTCTCTGGCCACAGAAGATATATTCCAGCAGATGGGGCTAAAAATCTACATATGATTCTTGTCTTAATAGCATCACATGCTCTGAAAAAATTATTTTTACTCATGTACTACTACTGAAAAAATTGTGTATGATGGCAATATTGCTTCTATTTTACTGTGATACCTGGATATGACAGATTTATATATGTTCTTTGTCCTCGGCTCCTGGCACAGAGCCCTTAAAGCTCTTGTGATTTCCTAAGTGACACAGAGTGATAGGAGCATCTTTTGTTGCATTATCTGTCTCGGCGTCTGGTTGCTGGTACACAGCTCTTTCAGCCCTCTAGAGCTTCCCCAGTGGCAGGAAATGAGTCTTGGAGGGCTCCTGAATGGCTTCAGGATGGTTTCCGGGGAGTTGCTAGAAACATCAAACACTGATTAGAGCCTTGGAACGTGGAGTGACACCCTGAATTCAGGGGCAGCAAGCAGAGCTGGCAGTTGATGAGTGATCATACCTATGTGATGAAACCTCCAGAAAACACCTACACCAGGAGGCACACAGAGCTTCTGGGTTGGCGAAGGCATTCACAGGCCAGGAAAGTGGCACACCCCAAGTCCCCACGGACAGAGGTGCCTATGTCAAAGCACTTCTGGACATCACCCTGTGCGCCCCTTCAAGGGCTGTTCATGTGTCCTTTATGACATACTTCTTAACAAGTAGTTCTGCAAGTGATTCTAGCAAACTCTCAAATCCAAGGACAGGGTCCCAGGAAGCCCTAATTTACAGCCACTTGGTCTGAAGTACAAGTGTTAACTTGGGACTTGAAGCTGGTATCTGAAGTGTGTATGTGTGGAGGCAGCCTTGTGAAACCCTGCTAGTGTCTAGAGAGTTGAAGAATTTGTTGATGGAGGGGAGCTCCACATTTTGGAGTCGGAAGTAATGTGAGTAAAATCAGATTGTACTTACAAAAGAATAAAGGCATTTTCCCCCTCCTATATACTAAGTGTAGACGAAAGGTATAAAAAAGCTTCATTTCCAATTAGCGGTGAAATGCTTTAGCTTATAAGGTGTTTTTACTACAACCTGTGATGAGAAATCATTTTATACACAGTACACACATACAGATAAGCAGACACCAATAATCGCCACAAAAGCTTCGCAAACCACCAGTATTTATCCTGGGCAATACACTCTGGTCTATTCTATTTCTTTTCTGATATACTGGGGATTGAACTCAGGGCCTTTGAACTGAACCATATCCCCAGCCTTTTTATTTTTTTAACTTAAGTCACTATGTTGCCCAGGCTGGGGTCAAACTTGTGATCCTCCTACTTCAGCCTCCCAGAGTGATGGGATTATAGGGGTGCACCAACACACCTGAGTTGTATTTAAAAAAAACAACAGCCAACCCCTAGTCAATTTCACCATGCACTGTAGCATTGGTCTGAACCCAATACTAATGAGCATCCATCACTCTCTCAGGCCAGGCTCTGTGCAGGGTGTGTTGGCCAAGGGCTGCCACTTCTCTTCCAAGTTAGAAATCAGAAGGACATGGGCTGAGGATCTCAGCAGGTTCAAATATGCAAACGAGAACAGGCAGAGATTTAACTCCAATACACAGGGTGGCTGAAACCTCACTCGGCCAACTCCAAATGCCTGCGTTGGAGCAAGTGTGGGGACAGGAAGGTGCATGCGCTTCCTGATACTATGCGGAGTCGGACCCTTGTCTCAGGCAAGAATGGTGGAAAGGGTTACCTAGGAACAAAGGAGTCACCAGCCTTGTTACTCCCATAGGAAAATAGGGTGGCTCTCAACATGGGACAGATAAAAGTCAATCTTCAAGCAGGGCATGGTGATGCACGCCTGTAATCCCAGCACTTTGGGAGGCTGAGGCAGGAAGGATCACTGCAAGTTCAAGGCCAGCCTGAACTGCATGGGGAGACTGTCTCAAAAAACCAAAGTCAGTCTTCTACACTACTTAGCCACACCGCAAGAATGCTTTCTCTACCAAAGGTAAAGTACTCAAAGAATGATGGTCCACAATTATATTACCTCAGTCAATTTAGAGACATAAGATTTTCTATTATTTTCTTGTTCATTTAAAGAGGGAACATACCGCTTCTGATTTTTGCAAAACTCCAAATGAACTCACTGTCCTCCTGCCTCCCAGAGTGCTAGAATTACAGGGGTGCACTACACCCCCAGCACATCTTTTAAAATCTGACGAAGAGCTTCTGCTTTGATTTTTAAAGAACAGATTTTTTCTACAGTTTCATTCCCAGACTAGATAACTAATCCTTTTATAAACTATTTTTTTTCTTTTTTTTACCTATAGATTGTATGTATTATTAAGTCTTTTTTTTTTTGGTACTGGGGATCGAACTTGGGTCCTTGTGCTTGCGAAGCAGGTGGTGAAACCACTGAGCTAAATCCCCAGCCCTGTATTATTAATTCTTAAAAATCAGCATTTTGATTCCCTTTGGATATGTTATGTTGGACTTCAAAGACTTGGAAAGAATTCTGTGTTGTTGTCAGTTCTGTTGCGTTGGCAGCAGCGCACATTAGTTTGGACAGTGAGCAATGACAGATGAGCACAGCGCCACACCCACAGTTTACCTCTTTCACAGACAGAACTGGAAGGTTGGTCCTGGATGGCTGCCTGGTCCTGGATGCTTTCAGGGGTCTCTTGATCTGGGGAAAGTCTTGTTTTGGAATAAATGCTTCAGTTGATGCAGATGAGTAATGCCTCTTTAATATTTTTATAAACCACTTAGAACCCAAAAGAGTTGGCTTGTGGGTCACTCTCCTATGAGGACCAAGTGATATCCTAGTTAGAAGGTGCACTCTGTCATCCTGGCAGTGCACAGTATTTAATGGAGGCAGTCTACTTGCATCTGAGATTTCCCGGTTCATTTCCAAGACCCAAGGCCTACTCAAGCCATCAGCTGCTGTAATAGGAAAGTATGAATCCAGGTTTTGGCAGATTGTCAGGGTGCTGCTGCGCGTTGAATTTCCAAACTCCTTAAGTGGTTTTAAAGTTAGATGAACAAGTCTTTGGCATGGATGTGCTTTAGATAATATACTGTGAGATCCAGTGAGGGCTCTAAGAAGTCTAGCTGGCATTATCACATCCCAAGCTGAAAGAAAAAGAATTTCAAATTCAAGTTGTTTAAAAAATTTTTTTAAAAATGTGTATTCCTAACCATCCAGATGCAGGGATGGGGTCCAGTACATTATTTGATGTCATCTAAGTGTCCTAAGTATGCAGTGTCAACTTTGGAAGCTATTGCTAGAAATTTTCTCTTTAAGAAAATAAATCTCATATGTAAAATGTACCAGTAAAATGTTATATACTTCCCTAGGAAAGAGGGATATTTCTGTTACAAAATGTGTAAAACAGAAACATTTTAATTCTAAGAAAGAACAAAGTGAAAAAAATAACTTGCAGCTCAGTGGTTGAATGCTTGCCTACTATGTGCAAGGTCTTACGTGTGAGCCTCAGCACTGCCAAAAACAAAATAAAAAATTAGAAAAGTATATATAGCTATATATATATATATATATATATAAAATATACATATAAAAGCCTTCTGCCATTTTTCATTAGTCAGTATTGGCCTTCTTTCTGAAAGATTATAAGATTATAAAGCTACTGACATGACAAAGACCTTAAAAGAGGAAAAAGTGATGGAGTCTCTTCATTCTCTGCATTAGCATACAAACTATTTTTTTTTTTTTAAAAATCTTTGCTTACAAATTCCTTTATTCAGTATTTATTCAGCCTCAGTAATGAGAGAAGCAACTAAGGCCAGGGATGTGTCCTCGAAAGGACAAGTGTCCCTCTCATCATGATCTTTAGCTTTCCTGGAAGCGACAGGCATTTTCAAGTGCTCGTTAATTCCATGGAACAGACCTCATGGCTGAGCTGTGACATGGGAGACTGAGAAACACACAGGAACTCATCCTGTTCTGCATGATGAGTCCGGAGAGGCTCCCAGAAAGATTTATGCTACTTTTTGAAGGGGAAGCTTGGGGCTGGGGATGGGAGGTGGGGAGGCCGGGCATGTCAACAACACACACACACACTCCAAAGGAAACAGACTGCATACGTAATTTCCCTCTTACTTACATTCTAAAATATGTATTCTTTCAAAACTAAGCCTAGGCCTAGGAATGTGGCTCAGTGGTAGAATGCTTGCCTAGGATGCTGGCCTTAGGTTCAATTCCCTGCATCCCCCAAAAAGAGAGAGAAAAAGTCAACCTATAGTAGGTGATCAATTCTTCAAAAAAAAAAAAATCCTAGTTGCTAGAGATACAAGTATAAATCAGTAACTTCACAATTAACAGCCCAGCTGAGGAAACAGAATAATATGATATACAAGTGCTATAGGGTCCTGGGAAGGAGCATCTGAGGTGAGGAGTGGATGTGACACTCACAGGTGGCTTTCAGATTGAGTCGTGAAAGGGCAGAAGGATCAATCAGCAAATCACACAGCTCAGATGTACTGTATTGTTTACGTGTCAAACAGGATGCAACTTCCGAGATGGGAGGGGATGCAGGAGGTAAGGACAGAAAAGGAGCCTGTGGCCAAAGCCTGCAAAGATCCATTAAATGATCCTACAGTTTTCTATAGGTTGAGGGAAACCAGAGCTTTTGGATTTGAGATTCATATGGTGAGATGTACATTGCAGAAACAAGTCTTTGGTAAAGATGTGAACGAGGAACTGACAGAGACTAAGACATTACCGTCTAGCACTTTTTATATACCAAATGTTGATTTACCTCACAGTAACCCAAAGAGGCATTTTACTGATGTGGAAATCAAGGTTTAGACAGGATAACTCATAGTTAGCAAGTCGCAGAGATGTTACTAAAGCCCGGGCCTTCCCATCCCAAAGACGACATCACAGTGTAACACCTCTCTTAAGAGGACAGGGGTGAGTCACAGCAGTGTTTACTAGGTGGAACCTGCTGCTCTCAAAATATCTTCAAAAGCTGGTATTCTGTATTAGGTTCTAAGCCAACGAGCTACTCTTGTTCATCTGGAATTTGTACTGTTCTCTGCCAACTGAACCAGAGCGTTTTTGTTTGGCTTTGGTTTTTTGAGATGGGGGCTTGCTATGTAGCCCAGCTGGCCTGGACTCTTGATCCTCTTGCCTTGGCCTCACAAGTGCTGGGATTATAGGTGTGTACCACTGCCCCCAGCTGAACCAGCTGGGATCTGAAGACCTTAATTATAAAAAAATTTAGAAATCTGTATACAGACTTGGATTCTTTATCTTTGAGGAAGTTCTTTACCTCCAGATTCTCCTGGTTGCTTTAGCATGGAAACTACAAGAAGCACTATCACAGAAATGTAAAAGCTACAGGACAAACAAAAAAAGTTTTCTCCATAGCTTCACTGAGAGGGACACAAATGTAGCATTTAAGGTGTTCAACACACAAGAATTTTAAGTATTGCTAAAAACCAGAATGCACAGAAAAGTTCAAGTTTAATTGTACAAACTAAATTTAAAGATTAAAAGCATACTTGATGTAAAATTTTACCCTATCAGCTTTATGTAGCCTTTTGACATAGCACTCACATATGCCTCTCTATTATCCTGGCTATAATTCTTGATGTTTTCTATATCCATGCAAATCAGTGCTGAGGATGATTCTTCCAATGCACTGGCCTCTCCTCCCTTCCTGAGGGACCTTGTTTTCCACTCTCCCTCGGCCACCTCTGTGGTCACACACTCTGACCTGTTAAGTAGCCACAAGGCAGTACACATGGCTACTGAGCACTTGAAATGTGCTTAGTATAAACTGAGATTTCATCAAAAAAGAAAAATACCTCAGTAACTTTTTTTTCCTTTTTCGGGGGGGCTACTGGGGATGGAATTCAGGACCCTGTGCTTGCGAGGCAGGTGTGGAGCCACTGAACTAAATCCCTGGCCCCCTCAGTAACTTTTATATTATTTGTCAAAACAGTACTCTTGGATATAGTGGCTAAATACATTATTAAAATTAATTTTACCTATTGGTTATGGCTTATATCTAGATGTCCCCCCAAAGCCTCATGCAGTCATAGGTGGGGCGTTTCAGAGGTAGCTGAATTTGGAGTGTGTGAATGTGGATTAAGCATGTGTGGTACATCCTTCCGCTAATCGACTTATCATGCTTTTGGGTGTCATTAATAGGAAGTCCCTCCCTGGTGTGGGGGGTACCACCCTAAAGGCTTATAGCTTGGATAGGATGAAAGGAAAAGGGAGGCTTGCTGATGCTGCCTTCTGCCTGCCTTGCCATGGATTGTTTCTCCTCTTCCATGCCACCCTGCCTTAGAGCCAGCTGACTATGGATTGAAAGCTTTAGAAACTGTGAGCCAAAATAAACCTTTCCTCCTTTAATTTGTGAATGTCAGATATTCTGTCCCAGTAATGACAGAAGTAACTAAGACACTATTTATTTTCACTTTTATCAATGCAGCTTCTAGAAAGCTTAAGGTTTCTGGCATGCATTGTATTTCTACTGAACAGTGCTCTCTAGACCTTGTATTAAGCATAAGTGCAACCTCATATTCCCAATTTCATACACTCTACTCTCCAAACACTACCTCCTATTTTTACAGCTTGTTCCTTCTTTTATTCAATGCCAACAATTCTTCCACTCCAAAAAGACATACAATTCAAGATCTAACTACCTTTTCTGTCTCTCAACCTCAATCCCAAGCCAGACTTCACTTTCTCCAGACCCAGCTTATGATTCATGGTCTACCATTATAATCTCTCCTTCCATATACCTTGAATCCTATGTAACACCCATGTGACATAACCTCAACCCTAATTAAATGCAATTCACCTAATTTGTGCCTGCACTCCTTCAGCTAAATGTAGTAGACATAGCCAAACAAGCAAGCTGTCCTTTCTTGCTTTACAATCAGGACTTCTTTCAGGTGGCCCCTTTCAGGATGCTCAACAATGTTACATCTCCCTATTACATTCTATTCTCCACTCTCTCCTTAAGTCTTTAGGACTCCTGCTCTCTCATTTTCACTAATGACCTTGCTTCCGCTTTCACTGACAAAACAATCAGAAGAGAACGTCCGTAAGATGAACCCTTAGCCATCATCAACTTGTCTATCTTTTGTTTCTGTGTCCATATACTTTACCTTTCCATCTGCTATGACTGAATCAAGTCCTCTATCTGTACACTGACTCATCCCTTCCTGCCTTCCTTCCCTCTCTCTTCCAGGCCATTATCTCCTCCTTTACTAGAACATTCCTATTAGCATACATTTATGCTAGATTATTTCTCACCTTAAAATAACCTCTCCATCCCATTTCTCTATGTGCACCTTTGTTGAGATTCTTTTCAAAGGAGTTTTATTCACTGTCTCCAATTCCTTCTCTCTGATTTCTTTCAAACTCACTCCATTTGGGCTTTCATCTCTATTTCACCCAAACTTACTTGTCAAGGTCATCTATGACCTTCACATTTCTAAATCCTTAGCTTATTTCTCAGTCATCATTTTACCTGACTTATCAAGCAACATCTGATGTGGTTGATCACTCCACCTCCTTGAAGCACCTTCTTCACTTTCTTCTAGGACACCACAGTGGCTGTTGTCCTCATTGGCTGCACCTTCTGTCTACTACTGGTTTCACCAGGACTCAGTCTCTAGTCCCCCTTTCTTCCTAAAGCAGCCTCTTGGCAATCTTCAGTTTTATACATCATCTAAACATTAATGAACAGCAAATATTTATCCTTAAACCACTCTGGTAAGCACCAAACATGTAACATGAAATCTTCCCAGAAAACTATTCTGCCCACAGTCCTCTACAATGGCAATTATATCCATATATTTGCTAATTCCAAAACAACCTGGTGTGTGATTTTACTCTTCTCTTTATTCTTCATACCCAATCTGGCAGGAAGTCCCACTAGTCTTATCTGGACCAGTTCTTACCATAAGTACTGCTATTACCCGGTCCAAGTTGCTCTTTCCCATGAATATTATATAACAGCCTACCTGGTCGTTCTGCTTCTATTCCTGGGCTCCTACAGTTCTTCTCAACACACCAACTACAGTAATCCTTTGATAATTTAAATTACATCTTTTCTCAGTGTAAAATCTGACAATATGGCTTCACATTTTACAGTACGTCTGTCAGAGCTCTTAAAATGGGCTTTAGGGCCGGGGATTTAGGTCAGTGGTTTTGCCGCCTACTGCGCAAACGCAAGGACCCGAGTTCAATCCCCGGTACCAAAAAAAAAAAGGGCTTCATATTTCTACATTCTCTACCCTTTACCAGCACTGACATTTCCCACAGCTCTCTCCCTTGCTATTTCTGCTCCGATAAGCTTCACCTCTGGATCTTTGCATTGGTTCCTTCCCTGTGTTCTTCTCCCAGGGATCTGTATTGTTCCCTCCTTTAAATGTCCGCTTCACCTAATGAAGCCTTCCCCAAGCACTCCATTTAATACACAACCAGCATCCGTTCTCTCTCTTCCTCTACTTTCTACTTATCCTTTGCATTTAACACCACTTGCATACCCTGGATTTTCTGTTCATGCAACAAATATGAACTGAGTCCTTATCATTCGCTAGTTGCTAATATAGCTGAAGTGAAACAAAAAGCCTTTTGAACCTTACTGTGGGAACAGCAAACAATAAATATCAACAAGTCAGCAAAATATGTATTAGATGACAGTGCTAAAGGAAACAAATAGAAGAGGAGAGATTTCTGTCCCTCTCCTAAAAAGTAAGTTCCATGAAAACAGAGATTTTTGTGTTTATTCATGCTGCAACTCCTGTGACAATGATGTCTAGCACACAGGCATCAACTGACTTTTAAAATGGGAGATGTGGGCTCGGGATTTAGCTCAGTGGTTCCACCGCCTGGCCCGCAAGCGCTAGGACCTGAGTTCGATCCCCAGTACCAAGATAAATTTAAAAAAATAAAAATAAAAATAAATAAATAAAAAGGGAGATGTGAGATATTTTCTCCCTTATCCCCTAACTCCCCTACCCCCTGCAAGGGTAAAATCACTCTACTAAGGGGAATACAAAATCCTGATTTGTGTTAGATTTTGTTATGTAACTACAGACCTTGCTCCAGTGGTTAATGGTACCAAATTAATAATTACCAGTTTGTCAGTCTTGGGCTGTGCTTGATGCTATTGTTACTGCTAACTGTAGTACTCTGGCCAGGGTGTCACACCTGTTTTGATCAGTTGTACTTCCTGGTATGACAACACTGTGATTGACTGGGATCATAATCATTACTACAGTCCAGTACCAAAGGACTGGGTGGTTGGCCAAATAGAGAGCAACTTCTTATCCCTAACAAAGTGGAAAGGTAGGATCTTGGGATAGACTCAAAGGCCAAGAGCCAGCTACATCTAGAAGATATCTCTGAAGAACAGTCATTTCCTAAGGAGGCCTTGGTACTAGTGATGATGCTAACTAACATAAGCAATTCATAAGCATCAACAAAGAAAACAAATTTAAAAATAGAAAATGAAAAGATGCACAAGCAAGATGCAACCCCAGATTTCCAGCCGCCTCAGGGCAAGTCCAAGGGGCAACGAGGTGAGGATATCAGAAACTACCCACCTGAATTTTCTGAAGTGGTAGCAGACATAACAAAACAGATGAATGAGGGTATAGAAAAAATTAGATCAGAAATAATTTCTCAGGTTAAAAAAGATTATGAACACAATAAAGGACTTATTTAGGAAATCTAGAGTAGATAAAGTTAAAAAAAAATAGAGGAGCTTAGGAAAATGATGGAAACCATGAATGCCCAACATAGGAAAGAAATGGAATCCATGAAACAGATTCAAACAGATATCCAGGAGATTAAAAATTCTATTGAACATATATGCAGCCAAACAAACCAAAGTGAAGACAAAATACCAGATCTAGAAGACAGACTGCAGTTAGCAATCACACACAAAAAAAGATTTCTTAAAAATGTCAAGAGACTATGAAAAATCAAACCAGTAGTTGCAAAATGATGCAACAAAGAACAACATAAGACTGACTGGAGTCAACAAAGAAGCAGGAGACAGCACAAATGACATTAAACAACCTGTTCACAGAAGTAATGGCAGAAAACTTCCCAAGCATGGAAAAAGAATTTGACATACAGATAAGTGAGACATACAGAATGCCAATTAGCTACGACCAAAAAAAAAAAAAAAAAAAAAAAAAGTATCAGAGAAAAGAATACTCTCATGACTAAGGAAACCTGAAGAAATTCATGACCCTCCAACCAGCCCTCCGAAATGTTCTGAAGGATATTCTAAAAAGAGATAATGAAGACTACAATTCTATGAACACCAATAGAAAGAATCCACCAGGTAAGAAAAGCAATTAAACAGAGGGGAAAGGGAATCAACAACAGAAAAATAATATGATAAGGATAAGTCAATATATATCAGTTACAATCATCAATGTAAGTGGTCTCAATTCACCAATCAAAATAAACAGACTGGCAAAATGGATCAAGAAACAGTATGCTGTATTCAACAATATGCTGTATATAAGAAACACATTTAACTCAAAAAGAAATTCACACACTGAAAGTCAAAGGATGGAAAACAATACTCCATTTCCAGGAACCTGGAAAAAAGCTAGGGTAGCTATTTTATTTGCAGACAAAGTAGATCTCAAGCCAAGACTGATCAAGAGACAAAGAAGGTTATATCCTTGTTAAGGGAACACTCCAAGATGAAGAGATAACAATCATAAATATATATGCACCAAATACCAGTGCACCCAACTACATAAAACAAATATTAATGGACATGAAATAAACACTAACACAATTGTAATGGGGGATCTCAATACGCCATTGTCACAAATATATCAACTAGACAAAAAAATCAACAAAGAAATATCAGAACTGAACCAAACCTGTGAACAAATAGACTTAGTAGATGTCTACAGAGTGTTCCACCCCACAACATCAGAATACACATTTTTCTCAGCTGCACATGGGATGTTCTCCAAAAAAGACCCCATACTAGATCATAGAATATGCTTAGTAAACGCAAGCCTATTGAAATTATCCCACTCTTATTATTAGACCATACTGCAATGAAATTGGAAATCAATGGCAAAAGAAACTGGAAAACTTCATGAATACATGGAAATTAAATAACACCCTACTGAACAACCAATGGGTCATAGATGAAACTGAAGAAAAAATTAGACAGTTTCTACAGTTAAATGATAATGCCAATACAACATAGTAGAACTTACGAGATACAATGAAAGCAGTCCTACAAGGGAAATTTATAGTGGTGAATTCCCACATCAGGAAAACATAGTGAGCTCAAACACTAATGTTAAACCTCAAGCTACTAGAAAAAGAACAACTCAAGTCCAAAGCTTGTATGAGGGAGAAAATTATAGAAATCAGAGCAGAAATTAATGCAATTGAGACTAAGAAAACAATATAAAGGGCCGGGGATTTAGCTCAGTGGTTTCGCCGCCTGCTGTGCAAGCGCAAGGACCCAAGTTCAATTCCTGATACCAAAAAAAAAAAAAAAAAAAAAAGAAAACAATATAAAGAGTCAATTGATCAAACAGTTCTTTAAGGATTAAATAAAACTGACAAACCCTTAGCCAACCTTATATTAAAAGAAGAAAAAAAACCCTCAAAGCCATACAATTAGGAATGAAAAGGGTGAAATCAAACCAGATCCTGCAGAAATTCAGAAGATCATCAGTACCTACTTTGAGAATCTGAATTCTAATAAGATGGAAAACAGAAGAAATGCACAGATTCCTAGATACATATGAATTACTAAAGCCGAATCAAGGTGATATAAAAATTCTAAAAAACCCAATATCAGTTAATAAAATTGAAAATGTAATGAAAAACCTACCAACAAAGAAAAGCCCAGGTCCTGATGGGTTCACTGCTGAATTCTACAAGAAATTTAGAAAATATCTAATGCCACCTCTCCTCAAACTCTTTAATGAAATTGAAAGGGAAGCAATACCCCCAAACTTATTCCTGGAAGCAAGCATTACTCTGATATCAAAACCAGGAAAAAGATCCAAACAAAAAAGAGAGCTCCAGACCAATCTCTCTAACAAATATAGAAGCAAAAAATCCTCAATAAGATACTGGCAAACAGAATGTAGCAAATCATCAAGAACATTATACACCATGATCTAGTAGGATTCATCCCAGGGATGCAGGAATGGTTCAACATAAATAAATCAATAAATATAAGAAACCATATAAACAGAACCAAGGACAAAAACCACATGATTATCTCAATAGATGCAAAGAATGCATTTGACAAAGTTCAATACTCATTCATGATAAAAACCCAATGGAAAATTGGTATACATGGTCTTTATCTCAATCTGATAAAAGCCATCTATGACAAACCAAAAGCCAGTATCATACTAAATAGTCAAAAATTGAAAACTTTCATTCTAAAATCAGGACCAAGACAAGGATGTCCACTATCACCTCTCCTATTCAATATAGTTTTGGAGGGCTGGGGATTTAGCTCAGTGGTTTCATTGCCTGCTGCGCAAGTGCAAGGATCCAAGTACTATCCCGGCACCAAAAAAACCCCACCACAATATAGTTTTGGAAACATTAGCCAGAGTAATTAGAGAAGAGAAAGAAATAAAAGAATAAGGATAGGAAAAGAAGTTAAATGATCCTTATTTGCAGATGACATGATACCCTACATAGAAGACTCTAAAAATGCCACCAAAAGACTTCTAGATTTAATAACCAAATTCAGCAGTGTAGCTGGATACAAAGTCAACACTCAAAAATCAATACCATTCTTGCACACACATAATAAACTCATTAAGAGAGAAATTAAGGAAACAACCCCCTTCACAATAGCATCAGAAAAAATGAAGTACTTAGGAATCCATCTAATGAAGGAAGTAAAAGACTTTTACATGGAAAATGACAGTATCTGAAAAAAAGAGATCGAAGAGGATATCAGAAAATGGAAAGATCCCTTGTTCTTGGGTAGGAAGACTCAATATAGTGAAAATGGCCATACTTCCAAAATTGCAGATTTAATAATGCACTCCTAATCAAACTACCAACAGCATACATCATTGAATTAAAAACAATCCTAAAATTCATTTGGAACCAGAAGAGGCCTAGAATAGCAAAAGCAATTCTGTGCAACAAAGGCAAGGTAGGTGGTATCACAATCTCTGACTTGAAATTATCCTACAAAGCTACCACGGTAAAAATATCATGGTACTGGCAAAAAAAACCAAACCAGACTTGGGGATCAATGGAACAGATTAGAAGACACAGAAACAACTACAAATATACTCAGCCACCTTATCTTTGTTAAAAGAGCCAAACACTTTCACTGGAAGAAAGACAGCCTCTTTAATGGTGCAAGAAAAATTGGCTGTCCACATGCTGAAGAGTAAACCCAGACCCACGTCTCTCAGCATGCACTAAATTAAAATCAAAATGGATGAAAGACCTAAATATTAAAACAGAAACTCTAAACCTACTGGAAGATAGAATGAGTAGAACTCTTGAAGATATTGGTGTAGGCAAAAACTTTGTGGGGAAAAAACCCCACCATGATAGAACAGGAACAATCACAAAGAATCAACAAATGGGATCTCATCTTATTAAAGGGCTTTTGGACAGCAAAAGAAATCACCAACACAGTAAAGAGACAAACCCGAGTGGGAAAAAATTTTGTCAGTTGTTCCTCAAAGGACCACTCTAGAATATATAAAGAACTCAAAAAAATCAGACCTCCCAAATCTAAAGATTCAATCCAAAAATTGGCATCTGAAATGAACAGACACTTGTCAGATGGAGAAGTACAAATGGCAAATAAATATATGAAAAAATGTTCAGTATCACTGGTCATTCAAGAGATGCAAATTAAAACAACACTGATATTTCATCTCATCTCAGAAAGAATGGCTGCTATCAAGAAATCAGTAAGTGCTGACAGGGCTGTGGGGAAAAAGGAACACTTCTTCATTGTTGGTGGGAGTGAAGACTAGTGGCAATCAGTGCAGAGATTGCTCAAAAAACTAAGACCAAAGGTTCCATTTGACCCAGCCATTCACCTTCTTGGTATCTTCCCAAAAGAATTAACAGCATCATACCACAGCAATATATGCACACCCATGTTTACAGCGGCACAGTTTATAATAGCTAAATCTTGGAAACTGCTCAAATACCCATCAACCAATGAATAAAGAAGACGTGGGATTTTTTTATACAATAGAGTACTACTCTGGTATAAAGATAAACTTGAGGGATTTCTAGGTAAATGGATGCACCTTGAGACCCTACTCTTAAGTGAAATAAATCGGACACACAGGTTTAAATATTGCATTGTTTCTCTGAGGTGAAAAACCAAAAGTGTAAATATTTATGGGTTGGAGGGGGGAGGAGGTAGGAAAAAAGAAGCAAGATATATTATGTACAGGTACAAATTCCCTATGATAAATGTTATCATTATGTATATTTAAAATGTACCAATAAAATGAATTTTTAAAAAATGAAACAAGGCAGCTGCTCAGTCCTTCGGCACATTTCTACTATTTAAGTGGAAAACGATCAACTAACAAAATGCCTACAGCTAGGCCATGATTCAGTGGAGAAGTGAAGCTAAGCTAATCTTTCGGAGCATGCCTACAATTCCTTATACTAAAAATAATTTCATTCGTTTTTGCTGCTACCACTATGTTCTCCTGACTGAGTGTTTTTTTCTCCCAGTTAAGTCGATCAAAGATCACTCACTGCCTGGGGCGTCGGGTCACAGCCGGACTGACGAAATCTGGGTGACTCAAGAGGCTTCGGGGGCCAAGGCAGAGACCTCTGTGTCGAGCCACACAAGTGCTAGAAAAGGCAGTGCACTAACCTCTCTGAGAGAAAAGAAGATAGAAGCGCCAAACGTGCGAGCGTCCGCGGTGGGACAGCAGGGCCAGGGACTGTCTCCCCGGGAGCCCCCAGCCCGCACCAGGAAGCCTCTCTGGGAAAGGTGTTGGGGCACTGAGCCGGTGCTGCGCAGGCGCACAGAACTCTAGGCTCCGCGCCTCGCGAGCAGCTCTGGCCACGTGACCGCCAGGCCACGTGACCCAGCCGCGATCTCTTCCGCTCCCCAGGCGCTGGGACCTCCCGGTCCTTGCCTGCTTCCGCCTTCCGTTCTCTTCCTTATTCCGCTTCTCTCGTCGCCCCACGCTGTCCCCGCCTTCATTCCCGGAAGAGCTCCTCGTTCTCGAGCCAGCGACTGTTTGCCACTTGTCCGTTTACAAATAAAGTTTCCTCCTTCAAAAGCACCTTTTTTTTTTTTTTTTTAAAGCCACAGCATTCCATTAAAAGCACGCCATTCCTCAGCTCCTTCGCGGCGGCCCTGCTGCTTATTCTGTGACCAGTGGGATCAGATTTGGGGTTGACTCCGGACCGGATGGCGAAGCCGCCTTCGTTTCTCTCCGCAAAGGCCGTAGGGTTCGTCTCGCTTTTCTCCTGAACGTTTTGCGAAAAGACAGGCCTGGCCGGGAAGCTGTGGGTGACGAGAGGAGGGCGCCTGCTCCCCAGAGGCTCCGAGTTCAAGTCCCGCCATGGAACTCTGGGTCCCAATGGCGCCTTCTCGGTTTTTGCCAACTCCCCTGGAGGAGACAGCGAGTCCCGGGGAAGGGAGGCTGCGTGCCGAGCTGCTCGCAAACGTTAGGGCTGTCTCTACCTTGCCGTCACTTTTTATTCATGTTAATAAATGAGTTCGTGGGGGGAGGTGTCAAAAGTCTTGAACATTTGGGAGTCTCGGGTCTATTGGGATTTCTTATTCCTGACGCCAATCATAATCTCACACATAAACGTCCCTACTAGTAGTTCCCCCATTGTATTTGTGAGATTCCTCAGTAGATGCTTGAAACTCGAACCCTATATTTACAGTTCTTTTTTCCGATACATTCCTATGGTTTTTAATTTATGAGTTAGGCACAATGAGAGCTATAAAAATAACTAACGACTAAAAGAACAATCATGTTATTTAAAGATCAATTAATTTCTGGAAATTTCCATTTGAAATATTTTTGCCTAGTCGACTGCACGTGGGAAAAGGAAACTGAATAGAAGAGGGGGACGGTTATAGTGGGTTTTGATTTTGAGGCAAATTTATGGATGATGGTAAAAATAATATAGCAACCATTTGCATAAACTGGCCAAGTTTGTAATTGAAGTAAGTTCTTCGAAATATTGCAGAAAACACTTAGGAAAAAGTAACCCTCCTTGGGCAGGAAGTAGATTGAGACCAGAGAGGTGATGATGCCCCCCAATTTAAGCTGGAATACTCCAAAGGGTGGTACAAATGTGGGCAGTGACCCCTTAGATGCCTCTGACCTTACCCTAAGCCTGGCCAGGACTTTACACTCTGAGTGAAGGCCTCTGTCTCAGGAAGGAGGTAGAAAAATAGTAATACTTGGCAATTAATGTAAAATCGCAAGGAAGGACTGTCACTTCTTTTGGTGTCTACTTTAGAAAATTCAACTGATTTGGTTCAAGTTAGTATCCTTTCTCTTTCAAAAGTACTGATTTTTTTTTTTTGGTACCAGGCATTGAACTCAGGACCTTGTACTTGCGAGGCAGGCAGCGGCACCACTGGGCTAAATCCCTGGCCCTTCAAAAGTAGTGATTTTTGAAAATTCAATTCTAATCAGAGTAATTACTAAGCATATTAAAACTTAATCACTGTGTTAGGATAATCAAAGCACCACGGAGTCTAAATGTGTTTTTGCAATTTGTTTTCTTAAAGTTTTATAGTTATCTTTCAAGGAATACTTTTGGAAAAATACTCAATATACAGCCCAATAATTTAACAACTAGAACAAGAGGCTGGGGATTTAGCTCAGTGGCAACCCACCTGTCTCTCAAGCTTAAGGTCCTGAGTTCGATCCCCTGGTACTGCAAAAAAAAAAAAAACACCCCAAAACAAAAAAACTAGAACGAGATACTTGAGTTTTTAGAAGTGTAATGACCCCAAATTAAAGTAAGTGATTTGGCAGAGGCATTCTTTTCAAAAGTATCTTGTGAATTTTTTGGTTTTTGTCCCTAGTGATCTGCAGATACAAGCACATATCATTTAAGCCCTGTATTCTGTTTTAAAAGTTTTATGTATTGGTTGAAAAAAGAACAAAAAGCTGCCTGGAATTTCACCACCTAATAAATCCTGTTTTTTGTTTTTTTTTTCCTAACAGAATCTTATGTATTTCCTTAAAAAAATTAATTATGGACTGGGGATTAAGCTCAGTGGTGTCGAACCTGCCTTGAAAGAGCAAGGTCCTGAGTTTGATCCCTGGTACCAGAAAAAAAAAAATTCTAATTTTATAAAATGATCATCTGTAAATCTTGATTTTTATATGTCTAAAATCAAGAAAATCTTAAAAAATTTTTAATGCAAGTATAAGTTTTTCCTTCCTCATCTCTAGCTTACTTTATTCTTTTATATATCACTAGGCTTTTGTTTGTTATCACTGGGCTTTTGCTTGTTTTGTTTTTTAGTTTTTTGAGACAGGGTTTCGCTCTGTAGTTGTCTGGCCTTGAACTCACTGTGTAGCCCAGGGTGGTCTTGAATTCATAGCAATCCTCCTGCCTCAGCCTCTGATGCACCATGCCTAGCTAACATTTCTGAAAAGTCTCTAGTTTTTAGCTGAGAAAGTGAGACAATAGATTAACTTTTTTATGGGCAGAGTAGGGTAAGAAGGCAAGTAGAGAAGGCAGTAAGGAAAATTTTTGAAAATAGTTAAGATTGATTAAGTATATAGAGAAGAGAGAAAAACAGATTTCATAAATATTTTAAAGTCTTCAAGCACATTAGTAGAGTTGTTTTTGTTCTTTTATCAGTAGATAATTACATTCTTCAGGGAGAGCTGGTACATGGACATAAGAACAGTTTTTAGGGGCCGGGGATTTAGGTCAGTGGTTCCAGTGCCTGCCTTGAAAGCACAAGGTCCCGAGTTCAATCCCTGGTACCAAAAAAAAAAAAAAAGAATAATTTTTACAGTACTTTTACAACCACTGCCTCCTTCATCTTTCTGAGCAAATGAAGTGACTTAGTAAATAGTAGGACTGGGACCAGAGCCAGTTTGATTTTGAGCCTAATCCTTTTTCTAGCCTACCACATTGTTGAACTAGTTTCTGATTTAGGAAGAGAAAAGGAGTAGAATGGAAAAGATAAAGAATGATTAAATAGATTTCTGCGATTAGAGGCACCAATACTCATTCACTTCCATGGCACAGCAGAGTTTTCAAATGTTTTAGTCTAAATATAGTAGAAAAAACTAGTCCAACTTCATAGTTGCATGAAAAGGAATTTTAGGCCTATCTAAGGTTAAAACTACTAAATAATATATTTTATGTGACTGTTTTCTAGATCATTTGCCTATCTTACAATCAAAGACAGAACACCACAGATCTTAACCAGGGCTATTGACACATTACATCGACACAAAAATGAATTTTTTGAGAAACATGGAGAGGTAAGAATTGTGTTTCATTTTTCTTTTTTTGCTTAATTCTTCAACAGAATAACAGTGGTTCTTGAAGAGTTCAGCTTTTGTGTAAAATGTGAGGATGACTACATGGGACAATGGTTTTAATGTAATATATTGAAAGGAAGTGTAATCATGTGGTCATCAAGGGAGAAACAGCCAGTCTCCAGTTTAGTTGTGTTCTAACAATTTAATCTGTCAACTAGACCTGAGAACATATTTTCTAATATATACAGTGTTAAAAATTGTGTCTTAAGTTGTTCACTTGCTCAGAAAAGCTTTTTTAATTTCAAACTCAGGTGAATTAGAATGTTTATATTACTAATTTGAGAGCTGCTATGCAAAACTTAAAAATGTGATTAGAGAATGAAAGACCGGCCGGTTACTTGAAATCATCTTGTCCATTCAGTTAACGGGTGGAGAATAATTTCAGTAACTATGCTGTGGGAGGCAAAGGTCTTTAAAATTGCAAGTCCAGTAACATGCATACAACAGTACATTTTTCTGAGGGTTGACAACAGAGATTGAGAGAAGTGTTGGTGGTCTTCTCTTGGCCAAATTGAAATGGAGCAAGAGAGCACATAGGCTGTAATATATTTCTTTCAATCTCTTGTATTGTCTTCTCTAAAGCCAATCCTGACATAATACAGGATCACTTTTGGTTCTTTGTTGCTAAAATCTAGCTTGTCTTGGACACTGACATTCCAGTGTTTATGACATAAGCATGATTTCATTTTGATGGATGCACAGGTTTACCGCTAAAGTATACTATAGAAAATTTGGATAGTTCGCTGGAGTGTTTGGTCATATGCTTAAACAGATTACCCTAATTTCTCTAGTAATTGCAACTGTTTTGACTGGAGTGACCTAAAATGTAGTCATTAATCAAGTCTCAGTATCTTGTTGCTTGGCCTGTGTGTCCTAATTACCAGGTGGCCATGCTGGCTAAGACTGAGAAGAGGACCTGCTGTCCTGTCCACCCCACCCCTTTTCCCATTCTCCTAGGTAGAGGACAAGACCTAAGAAAATGTTGTCTGCTCTTGGTGGCCTTTCTGTGTCCTTTTTCATGCTCCTCTCATACCTATGCCATCTCACATGGCTGCCTGTGTTCTCCCATCTCCCTGAGTCCCTAGCTACTGCAGGACTACACTTCTCCCCAGAGGAGCCGCGCTGAACAGTGTGTTGGCTCAGAAGTCAAAGCAAAGGCCCATCCCTTTAGACTAGTTTAAAGGGATGTGGGTCCTCTGGGGACGAGCTTGACAGATGTGTGTCCTTTGGTGACAGAGGCGAATTTTTTGTTTTTGATACCAGGGATAGAACTCAGAACCTTGTGTTTTCGAGGCAGGCAGCAAAACCACTGAACTAAATCCCTGGCAACAGAGCCGAATTTTATTCTTCCTCTGGCCCTCGGCAATGTTTGGCATGTAGGGAATTTGGGAAATGTTTGAACTGAATTGAAGCAAGTTATCAAGCTGGCAATGACTTAGCCCTTATATAGGCATTTACCTCTTAAAAAAAAAAAGGTTCCTCACAACTGTACAGAAATTTTAGATGTTAGAATTTACTGCTTATCAATTGAAGTTGAAGACTTCTGGGTAGAGACTTGGCAGAGGGAGAGTTCCCTTTTTAGAAAATTAGCCCTGTTGAGACACAGGCTCAGCTCCTAAAACCTTGTATTTTTTACAACTTCTTTTTATTTCTGAACCTGCAGAATCGCTAAAGCTTCAGTCTTTAGTTTCAGTGGCAAAATAGATTCTATTTTGGAAAAAAATGGGGGCTAGGGTGTAGCTGAGGGATAGAGGCCTTGTCTAGCATGTGCAGGGCTCAGATTGGATCCCCAGTACCACACACAAAAAAAAAGGTTAGAGAAATACCTGTATTGACAGCACAGTAAGTCTGAAAATAGAAAATAAATTCCCTTAATATTAGCATGGTAATAATTTTATAAAATTATTTACTTGGTCTTGGTTATTTCCTATATTTTGTTCTAAGTCTGTCATATGTTAAATCTTCCTCTTTTTTAATGAGGCAAAAATCTTGCTGGTATAAGACTGAAGGTACCATATTCTTTTATTTTTTAAAAAATTAATTTTATTGGTACATTTTAGGTATACATAATGGTGACATTCATCATATGGAATTAGGTACCATATTATTTTTACTTTATTCTTTTTTTCGAGACAGGGTCTCACCTCCAGAGGGCTGGGATTAAAGGCATGCGCCACCACACCCGGCTCACTTTATTCTGATCCCATAACATTTTTCCCTTCTTCTATTAACCTGTTACACAGCATAATACTGTAGTGCCTTGTTTGTCAGGGTCTCTCTCACCCCTCGAACTTACAGAGAACAAGGAATATAATGAAAAAGACCCTCAGAGCTGCCTGGAGAAACCTCAGGAGGCCAGAGTTCTTTTTCTAGTAGTGCTTCTGGTGAGAGGCAAGTAACTTGGAAGCATGAAAGTTGTGGGAAACCTAGCAGTGATTCTTTTCCCTCTGTGGTAGTGGTCAGCCCACCTGAGGATGCAGAAGGGCCAGAACTTTGACAAAAAAGGCTGAGTAGATAAGGTATGATCGTGTTACTCTGAACTCTGTGTATTTTGATTTTTAATTTAAGAATTCCAAAATGTCTACAAGTTTGTAAAAGACAAAATATAATTTTGAAATATGGTGTATTTCTTACCTTAAATTTAGGCCCATGAAGATGTGTTACTGTAGAGGAATTACGCACACACACATACACACACAATTTTTTTGTTGTTATTTTTGCAGGAAGGTGTGGAAGCGGAAAAGAAAGCTATCTCTCTTCTTTCTAAATTACGGAATGAAATACAGACAGATAAACCAATTGTGGCCCTGGTTGAGGACTGTGCTGATACTGACCTTTGGAATCAGCACCTGGAGTACCAGTGCAGTCTTTTAAACGAAAGCAACGGACAGCCAAGTTGGTTCCGCTCACCATGGTTGTTTGTGGAATGCTACATGTATCGTCGGCTTCACGAAGCGATTATCCAGAGGTGCGTGTTTAACTGTCAAATAGCAATGTTTAGATAATTCATGCTTTTTTGGAATTGTAAAACAATAAGTTTGAAAATAAACAAATGGAAGCCTGAATTCAGTAGAGCAGCAAATATTAATGGCACTGTCGGACGTTTCCACAAATGATATCAATTTAATAGCTTCTTGGCGATTGTAATCTTCTTGCCTACAATAGGCATACGGTTGACTAAATAGTATGAGCTTATTAAAGATTTTTATAAAGACTTCTAGAATAAAACAGATTATACTTACTGAACAAAAAAACTAATTTGAAATATATATATATATAAAATCAAGATGGTACAAAGTAAACATATGTTTTATTTAGAAATAGTATATCACATTTTATTTGTTGTGAGGAACCATTAGAATAGTAAATTATTCTGTTGTCTCCTGCACTGGCTTGTTAGTCCTATAGTTTTTTAAATTTTGGTTTTGATGGCTAAATTAAAAAAGACTAAAAGTTACCCATGTTCCAAACAGTTTTTATAGCTTTTTTATACTATTTTACTTTTCTTAGGAAAATTCTGATATAGAAGTGATTTATAATGCAAAAGAAAAGATAATGTGGATTATCCTTTTAGCTCACAGTTTCAAAAGTATAGGTTTGCTGTGTATCCTTTGGGACAGAATCCTTTGGTAGCCATTCCTAAATATAGCAGAGGATAATTTAAAGCAACTGATTGAGCAAGCATTAATTACAAAATAAAATTATTTTGTGAAATATATTAACTTTTTCTGTCTTAATCTTTATAAATTATTTTTTTATCATAGTTTGTTGTTTTTGCCAAGTAGCAATGTTTAAAAACTGTTCTAAAGACCAAACATACTCTTCCAAACCCGGTGTACAGATGACCCTCAACAGAAGCTGGGAGAAGCTGTCATTTGTTAGAAACTAGCTGTGTGCCAATTACTGCACTTATCCCATTGCAATGTATATTTGAGGAGCTTCCAGATTGGGGCCATTTAAACACTTTTTTGGTGAACATATGTGTGCCTTTCTGTTGGGAATATACCTAGGAGCGAATCCCTGACTCAAAGGGAATGCACAAATACAGCTAGGGTAGATTCTCAAGGAGCAAACACTTTAAAGCTGGAAAATTTTATATATGTATATATTAAATATAAATATATTTACATTGTGTGTATTTGTGTGAGGTTTACTCCTTTAAATATGATTAAGACTCATTCTTAACATGAGGTGTGACTTTAAACTAATAATCGATCTGTTACTAAAACGTAAGAACATGTGCTGTCAAACATTGACAGGGCCAAATAAATATTTTAGGGTTGATATGGTCTCTGTCTCAGCCGCTCAGCCTTGCTGTTGCGGTGCAAAGACACCAGACACAATGTAAATGAATGAGCATGGCTATGTTCCAGTTCCAGTTCTTGATTTATAGGCAATGAAATGTGAATTGCACATGTCATAAAATAACGCTTTTCTTTTGCTTTGTTTTTAACCTTTCAGACTTGTAAAAACCATTCTTAGTTTGTGAGTGCACAAAACAGGTGTTGGCCTGCCTGGGTCTGTAGGCTTCCATTTGTTGACCCTAAATTTGAACTTGTGCATCCAAATGCCTTTTATCCTTTTAAATCACCTTGAGAGTCGGACTGGTTTCAATAGTGCTGTCATTGCTAAAAAAATACCTTTGAATTCTTTGGAATTTTTTTCAGAGCCAATGTATAAGCTCTGAAAACTGTTTCATTATTTTTTAGTCACTTCTCCTTTTTAACCAAAAATGTTTTTATTCAACTTGATCACATACTTCATTCAACTGAAATTGCTTTGAGTGACTTTTGAAGACAGGTGGTCACTGACATGATGTTCAATAATGTACCACAGGTTCTGGAGAAAATTTCCAAAGAGGATTCCAAAAGTGCTTTAAGTAATGGCAGCATCCTAGGAATAAAGGTGTAGCTTCCCATGGGACTGAGTGACAGAAGGAAGCAGCCATCATTTGGATGTATAAAGGCTGGTATGTTTTTAAAAACAAACAGTTTCACTCCATCAGTCTTACATTGTTTTTACCCTAACGTGATGGCCTATGGAGGAAAGTAGCTGATTTAGAACAAGAGATAATCAGAATTATCTACCCAATTCTGGAAAGGCTATTGTATTAGTATTTACATCTTCTTTGTCATATTCTTCATTGGACAGCACGAAGATATAGCCATGGCATGAACCCTCACCTTTGGCAAAAAATTAACACGACAGTAAAAGTCAAACAAAATCTGATCAGAATTTGTTATTATAATGAAACTTAACGAGTATTAAGTCTGATTTATCTCTAGTACTCATTGTATTCCCACAATACTCTGGGTTTGACTCTCGGTGATTATTGCATTATAGTCAAATGTTCTATTTACATCCATATATTTGTTGCTAGAAACTATGCCACATTGATACTCAAAAAATATTTGTTGAACTAAAGCAATTATTTTAAAATTTTGTTAATCTTTCTCCTTTTGCCTTGGAATCTCTTCTGGATAAATAAGTTTGGGCATAAGCATTATAATTACTTACTACTTCTAGTGAAATAGTTGATTTGGGAAACTTTGACAATTAATTAAAATGAGCTGGGGATTTATTTTTGTGTAACTTGATTATCTGTGCTATGTCTGGTATTTGTTACCACTAATTATTGTGACTCATGGTGCCATTCTCTTCCTATTAAAGAACTGCAGTTACTCAAATATCTGTATCTATATCTGTATCATCTATCTATATCTATATAATATATACATATTTTAAAAAGATAAACTTACGTAAATATTTCACTTATGTTTTTCTCTTTAGTCCACCAATCAATGACTTTGATGTATTTAAAGAATCCAAAGACCAAAATTTCTTTGAGTCACAGGAATCTATCACTGCATTATGCACTTACTTGCAAGAGTTGATAGGAACTATTGAAGACCTAGATGAAACTCAGCTGAAAAATGAGTTTTTTAAATTTCTGCAGGTAAAGATCAGACTGTCTGAATGTCTTTATATTCAGTTTTGTAAATACTAATATCAGTAGTTTATACTAATACTTACTAAATAATAATCTATTATATTAGTCATTTAAACTAGTGTTTTTGTTTTTTTAGCCCCTCTGAACTATGTTTTATGCCTAATTCAAAAATACTAGCATACCAGCCCTTGACTCCTAGCTAGCCCATTCTTTCAGAGAACAGTCACCTTGAAATATGTTTTTTGTCCCATAAGTGTATTAAATTGTAAAGAAGAATGGTACAGTCTATTTCCTGTCATCTAATTTGGTCAGCTATCCTCACTGTCACCCTGCTCCCAAATAAAGGAGGCCAAAGTTGCTTTCTCTTATTCCCCACAATGAGCAAAAGGTTAATTTTGCAAGAAAAGCCTGAAGAACGTTAATCTGTTTCCAAAAGTCGTAGCACTCTATTATTGCGTCCACACAAAGACTTTTGGACCTATTTGTGTCCAGCACTTTTCTAGAGGCAGGGCACATGGTGATGGAAGAAATAGGCAGATCCTTGCTATCACAGAACTTGTAATCTTGAAGAAATATAGATAATCAAACAGTGGCACAAATAACTGTATAATTAAAAACCCAGAGGTGATATGAAGGAAATGTGCAGGAGGCCAACAGAGAATCTGATCTCAATTTCTGAATGCCATCATATATATTATTGTGTGAGAGTCTCCAAAAAGCTTTAGAAAAGTATAGCCTTGGACATTTTAGCTATTATGTAAGCCTTACATTTTTTTGAAAATCTATTAATTTATCTTTTAAAAACAATATTCTTGGTTAGAACATACATTTTCCTTATCTTATATTTAAATACAATTTTTTTTTTTTTGAGCCTGGGTCTCCCTATGTTACCCAGGCTGGCCTGGAACTCCTGGGCTCATGCAGTCTTGCCTCAGCCTCCCTAGTAGCTGAGACTACAGGCACCAGACTTGGCTATTTTCCTCATTTTAAATCATGAATGAGAGTAGAATCTCTTTTGACTAATATTTACTGAATACTTGTATGCCAAATATTTGGTACATTATTTACATGCATTATGTCAGTACTCATGACACAGTAACTGAATAAAGTATTAGTATCTTGGTTTATGTTTGCAGAACCTGAGCCTTAGAGATCTTAAGTAATTTGCCAATGGTCATTAATTGAAGATACTGGGATTTGAACCCAAGTCTTAACTCCAGAGCGTGTACTCCTAAACATGTAATTTTTTTTTTTTTGTACTGGGGATTGAACTCAGGACCTTGTGCTTTCCAGGCAGGTGCGGTGCCACTGAGCTATATCCCTGGCCCTGTAATTTTTTTGTTCTTATTTTTCTGTTTTTTGAGACAAGCTCCTGCTATGTAGTTCAGGCTGGCTTTGAACTCACTATGTAGCTGAGGCTGGCTTTGAACTCATGGTGATCCTCCTGCCTCAGCCTCCTAAGTTCTGGGCTTACAAGTGTGTGCCACCACACCCAGCTGTAATTTTATAGTTTAAGAAAAAATAGGGTTATATTTCTTTTTGTTGTTGTTGTTTTTACAAAATAACACTAAGTATTATTTCAACTTAAAGTCAACTAATAATTGATTACACTGAGTCTACAATTGACATCACCCTGGTTATAAAGTTTGGGCTTGAGATACCACGGTGTCTAGCTTCTTTATTTTACAGTCTCAGACAGGTTGCTGCGTCCTGAAGGTTATACAATTAGTGAAAAAAACTGGGCAGTTTGGGGAGGAGGGCAGGAAAGAAAAAAGGAAATGTTTTATTTTTCTCTTGACTCTCGAGTGAATCTGAGCCTCTCTCTTTCCAGAATCTGATGTGTTTTTTTTTCTGGTACGGGGGATCAAACTCAGGACCTTGTGGTTGCAAGGCAGCTGCGGTGCCACTGAGCTACATCCACAGCATGATGATATTTTAGTATCTGTATGATGCAAAGTCTTCCCTTCTGAATAGAAATGGGGGCTAAAATTATTCCAGTCATTTTTTTCAAACATCTGTTACATATTCACTAAAATTGTCAGTGTTTTACCGAATAGTAGAGCATCACATAAATATGTTACATTATTAGAGAAAGTAGACTTAGCAGACATTTTAGTTTTAGAAATAAATATAAATATAGCCAATATTTTAAGCAACCCCTCCCTGTACCTCTTACACCATAGAGGTTTTGTTGCTTATTCAAAAGGATGATGGCTTTGTTCTTTTTCTTTTCAGATTTCACTCTGGGGAAATAAATGTGATCTATCTTTATCAGGTGGAGAAAGTAGTTCTCAGAAGACCAATGTAATGAATTCTTTGGAAGACCTAAAACCTTTCATTTTAGTGAATGATCTGGAACATCTTTGGTTATTGCTTAGTAAATGCAAGAAAACCAGGGAAGAAACGTCCATAGATAGAGTGTATATTATTCTGGACAATTCTGGGTTTGAACTTGTTACAGATTTAGCATTAGCTGACTTCTTGTTGACCTCTAAATTGGCTACTGAGATTCATTTTTATGGGAAAGCTATTCCCTGGTTTGTTTCAGATACTACTGTACATGACTTTAATTGGGTAATTGAGCAGATGAAATGCTGTAATCATAAGTGGATGTCCAAGTGTGGGATTGACTGGGAAAACTACATCAAAGTGGGTAGATGGGTTTATCATGATCATATGTTTTGGACTCTGCCTCACGAATACAGTGCAATGCCCCAGATTGCCCCTAATTTATATGCTGAGCTGCAAAAGGCATGTTTAATTTTATTCAAGGGTGATTTGAATTTTAGGAAGTTGACAGGGGACAGAGAATGGGACTTTACTGTTCCGTTCCATCAGGCTCTGAATGGCTTCCATCCTGCTCCTCTGTGCAGCATAAGAACCTTAAAAGCGGAGGTTCAGGTGGGTCTGCAGCCTGGGCAAGGGGAGCAGCTCACAGCTTCTGAGCCTCACTGGCTGACCACCGGGAAGTACGGCATATTTCAGTTTGATGCTCCACTCTGACTAGGCCTCCGGAATCCCAGTGTGAGGAAGATTGGAGAAGCACCTTTCCCTCCGCGGAAAAGCAGTGTGTGAACTGAGCCACAGACTGCGCTGCTTTGGCTCCAGAAAGCTTAGCTTCTCTGTGCTCATCTCTACACACTCTGGGTGTTTTTTCTTTGGAATATTTTGCCTCACTGCAATGTTTTGGAAATAGACGGTTTTAAGTTAGTTATAGATTTTTACATTTACTTTGGAATTTTAGTGTCTATTTCACATTAGGTGCATAATTTCAAGAGGTTTTGATGAACTTATTTTTAATTGGATAGAAAGCAAAATCTAAGTGAATTCTGCTTTTTAAGTTTGTAAATCCTATTTTTTCTTAAATAGTACACTGCATGGTATTTAATATCCTAGGAGGAATGGAATTTTATTTAACTTCATTTCAGGCTCTTGAAATAATGGCTCAGTGAAAAATATGCATTTTAATGCTTCTGTAAAGAGATGCGTTTCTTACAAATGTGATGCTTGAACACATAAAAGGAAAACTTGCCTCATAAGTTGATTATAACTTTTGTTCTCCATGGATTTTATTTTACTACAATAGCCTGTTTTTTTGGTATGTATTTGTAATTTTGATTGACCGGTAAAATGGATATTAAGAAACAGAAAATTGAACAGAATGAAACAAACAGTATTTGAAAAAATGTAGCATCTTTTACATTCTATTTATGATACCCATAATCAACATAAAACACGTTTTAAAGGAACAGACTTTTAGTTTGAAATTTTAGAAAAATGCTTGATATAGAAAAGATTCCTATGGATTGAATTTGGATACTACCATTCTTTTTTTATATTACACATTATAGTGATCATCATCACAGATACTAATAACTGTAAATTGGTTTGTTTTGAAACAAATTGGAAATAAACTTGGAAATGTTTTCTTGCATTGGAATAATAAAATGTACTGAAAAACTTCATGACTTTATTTTCTATTGGGGAAAAATTAAGAGGGGAAAATTTAGAATGAGATCTATATAATGAAAACCCCCTAGTGAACATTATAAATATGGTCCAAAGTAGCTATTAAACAATCTGAGTTAAAATGAAGTTATAATCTATGGTTTTCCTAAGTGCTTAAAAGTTTTTTTGTAAGATATATGAAGTTGTACATTTTGAGTTTCTTCTTGTCTACATATATTTGTGTTTTAAACATTGTTACTAAAATGCTTAGCATTTTGGAATTATTTGTCAACACTCAGTGTAACTCAGAACACAGTTTTATATTTGGATTGACTTCATAGCCACAGTATGAGCTGTTATATATTATATTTTCTAAGGCACTGGTGTTTTTTTTCTGTTCTTTTTTTTTGTTACTGGGGATCGAACTCAGGATCTTGCACTTGCGAGGCAGGCGGTGGAATCACTGAGCTAAATCCCAGGCCCCTTTTTCTATTCTTACTGTGTAATTTATTAAGAACCTGTCATGCCATATGAGGAAGTAATTTACTGCCCAGCCACCCACAAGAAAGAGACCAAAGAAGCAAACTAGAGCAAGAGAGCAAGGTGGGACTGTGGAAGAGGAAGTCAGTTAAATGGGATTATTATAAATGCTTTGCAGGAGGGAGGGCCTTTATTTTCACCTGTTGATTTAGTAGGCTTATTGAGGTATAATTTGCTGACAATTCATCCAGCTAGGGTACAATATTTTAGTATATTTACAAGGTGTGCAACCATCACAATCTTAATTTCAGAACATTTTTGTCACCCCTAAAACCATGCACCTATTAAGAGTCATTTCTCTTTTTCCTCTTCTTAACACTTGGTGACTAGTAATCCTGTTGTTTCTATGGATTTACCTGTTCTGGACATTTCATATAGACAGAATCATAAAATATATGGCCTGGTGTCTTTTGAAGGGTCATCAGATGTAGGATGTTATCAGTATCTCTTTTTTATGGCCAAGTAATATTCCATTGTATGGCTATACCACATTTTATTCATTAATCAGCTGGTGGACACTTTTTACTACTTTTTTGAATAATGCTGCTGTGAACATTCAAGGACAAGTATTGATGTGAATATGGTTTCAGTTCTCTTGGGTATGTACCTAGGAGTTAAGTTAAATCATCTGGTAACTGTTGAGCAGCTGCCAACTTGTTTTCCAGTGTTTTCACTGCTTTATATTTCTTCCAGCAATGCACAAGGGCTCCAGTTTCCTCATATCCTTGTCAGCATTTATTGTTGATTGTTTTTTTTATTATAGCTACTGTTGTGTGTGAAACGGTGTCTCATTATTGACTTGTATTTCCCTAATGAATAGTGACATTGAACAGGCTTTAATGAGCTTATTGGCCATTTGTGTATCTTCTTTGGAGAAATGTCTTTCATTCCTTTGCCCATTTAAAAATTATCTTTTTACTGTTTAGTTGTAAGATTTAAAAAATACATTCTGGGCTGGGGATTTAGCTCAGTGGTTTCGCTGCCTGCTGCACAAGTGCAAGGACCCGAGTTCGATCCCTGGTACCAAAAAAAAAAAAA